CATCGAAAAATAAAAAGCTTTTCACCTTGACTTGATATCTTATCTATTATAAATATTTGTTTGTTCATACATTTCCTGCTGTTAAGATAGTTAAAATACAATGCCGTCTACAGTTCCGACTTTTTTATAGGTATTTTTTTTTGCCGAATCCCTCCGCTTACGACTTAACCGATTACACAGTGACGCGGTTATCTCAGATTAGAACAGATTTAACCACACCGGTGACGTCACAATAGCTAACAGTGGGGAGTCCCTCATTTACACTAAGAACATAGACAACACAGACAACGCCATCTAGTTTCAAACTAAGCAGAGCTTGTAATATGAAAGCTAGATTGACTGATAGAATACTTATATACTTTTTTTGTAAACACATACATATTATACATAGAAAACACCCAAACTCCGAAACCAATATTTGCAGATCATACAAACATTTGGTTCGACCCGGGAATCGAACCCGAGACCTCAGCACAGCAGTCGCAGTAATATCAAAAACATACACACACACACACACTTAAAGCACTCGTCATATTCTTAATGATTAAGATAAGTTGCCTTAATCACACCTTGTACAGACCAATTATCTTGTACACTGTAGGATAGTAGTTGAGTAGTTAGTTAAGTTAGTAGTTTATTGAGTACGCAGGAAAGACAGCCAAACTTAAAAAGTATATTTGAGTAAACGTATATAAAAATGTAAAGAGTAGCGAATCTTGCCTTGATTGTGCTTTATAAGTCTAATAGTTGGTGGCCTACTAACTTATAAACTATTAATTAATGTATTTATAACAATAACTTTTGACTGCACGGATGGCGTAGTGGTTTAAGCGGTCGCCACGCCGCTTCCTATTACGCCGAGTGTTGTGGGTTCAAACCCCACATGGAACAAAACTTTGTGTGATCCACAAATTGTTGTTCTGAGTCTGGGTGTACTTTGTGTCCGTTTCATGTATGTTTGTAAAGTCCCCCGCGACACAGGATTTATTCCTATTGCAGGAGTTGTCTTTTTTTTTAAAAGAAAGAAAGAAATAACGCGCAGCCAAAAGTAGGCCGCAGCGCGCACAAAATTATCTACATGTAAAAAGTAAAAACTATTTGTATGTACGATAGTGAGATTGTACACACCTCAAGTAGGTAATATAAACTAAATGTATATGTAAATAGGTAAATCATAATAAACTAAAAACTTGTTATGCTACTCACGTTTGTGAATTTAGGGTTGCTGGATAAAATATGTTTCAGTATTGGACGTAAGCAGTTTACTGTTTGGTACATAGTGATAAAATTTTATACAGGCGTATAAATATTTCACGTTTATTACGATAGAAGTGGATGCCTGCTCAAAGGTATATAGTTTTTTTAGATACCTTCATTTAACAAGACACAGTTTTTTAAATTATAAAATAAATAGAAAAACATTATTGTGGTATTAGAAAATGAGTTTAATTTACTTTCAGTGTATTCCGTATGTAAGTATCAATACACTGACATACGTACTGCTTCAGAAAATACTTTAAATTTCTCAGAATAAACTATATTACAATTTTTTTTGTTTAAAGCCCCTGTGTTTTTTTAATAACTATTAAAAAACTGTTGACTTTGAATCTCATTTATCAAACCTACCGAGTAAAGATGTACAATTTGAACGATGACACACACTAAAAACATTTACACAGTGTTAATGTCAAGTGGCATGAATTTTAATAGATTTTAGTCTCGCATCGTTAGTTGTATTAGTTTAAACACCAATTTGTATATGTTACGGTCGTGATGTAACGGATACGCGTTTTAGTGATAGCGGTGATGGATTGTATTTTGATTTTAAGATTGGGGAGGTAATACTTCCACAATGTAAGAAAACTTGTATATAATCACGTTCACTTAGAGCTATTAAAATTTACTTATTATTTCCTATATCTCAAAGTTGATTAAATATGATAATAATCCTTTGAAAATTGGAATTTCAACAGCTTTTAAACATAAATAAATTTTGTTGACAAAAGAAGTGCGAAAGAAAAGGTATTGAACTATTTTGTCTTCAGTTTACTTATTTATTAATAAATAAATATTCCTCATGCGACATACATGTGTTTATAGGACATGTTGATATGACCTGTGACCCTGACTGCTAAGACGGAGGTCGTAGGTTGGATTCCCAAATAGAACAAATAATCGTGTGATGAGTAGGTACTATCATTTGTTCTGTTTCTAGATGTAATTTATTTCTAATATGTATGTATGTATTTAGTTTATATAAGTATGTTTATTAGCAGTCGAGTTACTATCACATCACACACATCAACAGCCTTTAATAGTCCACTGCTGGACATAGGCCTCTCCTTAGAAAGAAGGTTTTGGCCTACTATACACCGCTGACCAGGCGGGTTGGTATAGGGTTTCGAGTTACTATAGCACAAGGCTCTTTCTAATTTGGGATCACACTGCACTAAATAAACCTATCTATCTATATGTTATTGTGCCTAAAGACAAACAATACTATTTAAATATTGTTTCTTAAGTTCTGTTTTTTATGTTTTGCATCAAATACGTTTCGACCTTTGAACATTTTAAAATTTTAATACCTGCAAAAACATTGTGGCGTTACATAAAAACACACGAATACACGATCAGCCTCAGTGTTATTAAGACACGTCCTTGTAAACAGTATACGGGGTTAACGAACTCAGACGTTATAGGATTAGTTGGGCTCACGATGGCTTGGATACACGGACTACAAAGATATCAGTATTAAGAAGCATCACAGTGTCTCATACTGCTTTAAATATATTCAAAATAAAACAGACTTTTCTTTACCACGTTGTGTTAAAATAGCGAGGGAGAGCCCGGCTTCGGCACAAATGGGTGAGGTCACCCGGAGTGATACCACAGCTTCGCAGAAAACTGGTGTTAAGTAGATCTTGCGTTTTCAATATATCATCATTTAGTCAGAACCAAGCGAGAGAAACCAGTGAAAATACGTTGCGTCGACCCCTCATAAAATGAGGAAATTGACAGGCAGGTGGTGAATATAACGGTGATGGTGGTGATGATGAAGCTAGACAATGTAATAGTAACCAGACTGCTGATAAATATACTTATATATTTCTGAATACATACATATTATAGATAAATTACACCCAGACACAGAACAAATCATCGTGCTCATCACACAATTACTCGTATTTGTCCTGGGTAAAAATCGAACCTACGTCCTCCGGCTTAGCAGTTAGGGTCACTAACCAATAAACTAACAAGCCCGTCAAAAAAACTGTTGAATTTGAATCTCATTCATCAAACCTACCGAGTAAAGATGTACTATGACACACACTAAAAACATTTACACAATGTCAATGTCAAGTGGCATGAATTTTAATAGATTTTATGTCTTGCATCTTAAGTTGTATTAGTTTAAACACCAATTTGTATATGTTACGGTCGTGATGTAACGGATGGGTGTTTTAGTGATAGCGGTGATGCTTTGTATTTTGATTTTAAGATTGGTAAGGTAATACTCATATAATGCAAAAACACTTGTACATAATCTGATGGTACATTTAAAGCCATCACATACATGAGTATATGGGACTATATTTTGCACTTGCCCGCATAGTAGTGTACGGGTAAGTTCAAATATGATCGTATTATTGATTAGACACTAAACAACACACCTGGGCCTCGTTACTGCTATTTTAATGTAGATTTCGTTTTCATATAAAGAGTAATTTATGTCGGTATATAAGTTTTAAAAATACTTTTAATTTTAACATGTTAAACATGTTAACTCACTAGCGGATATACTTCTGTATAACTAACTATAAAAGGCGTCATTATGTCCGCAGGACAAAAGATATTGTCACTTTGGGTGGTGGGTGGTCTTGTTGTATACACTTACCAGATTACTATAGTACCTACAAGCTGCAAGCTGGGCGTGACGTGTTGCAAAAGCTGCGTAATATGATAATTTCTCCAGGGAATATGCCATTAGTGGCCCGGGTAAACTTGTAACCGGGCTTCAGGCTATTTAGGGATTGTTTTAACACAAAAATTTGTAATATTTGAGTCACTTTCTAATTTCAATATTTGAAGTAATTTGTAATAATAAAAACTTCACACATATGACACACGACCGTCTGATTTTAAATTAGACAAAACCTATGCTATAGTAACCAGACTGCTGATAAATATACCGAAATATTTCTGAATACGTACATACTATTTATTTATATATTTAGTTGCCCGAACACATAACAAATGATGGTGCTCAGTACACACTTTTTTTACCTGGGTGGGAATCAAACCCTCCGGCTTAGCCAGCAGCGTCACTTAACTCCTGTTATACATTTAATTTGATGTGCTAGTATACTGTATTCAAAACAAACATACGCCACGAATACCTGGAAAACCTGCACATCATGCATTTTTTGCCTCAAGCGGAGATTGAATCCACAGTCATTTGCCTTGTCTGTAGCGAGGCGACGTTACAAATTAAAACATTATTACATCAACCGCGCAATCATTATGTTTAGCATCCATTTATACTTCATTCTAACTAAAAATATAAATATATTTTATGACAGGTCTTTGGAGTATTAAATGTTTTATCAAAATGTTAGTCGCATTATTATCTAAGCTATCTAATTGTCAGTATATGATAAAATAGTATCGATGTACCTATAGTGTCAATAAAAAGTTTGTATCCATGTATTATATCTTATATCTGAAGAGAATTCTTTGAACGAAAATTCGAAGAAATCTTGTTTTCGTCAAGTGAGCGAGTATACCTTAAAACCAAACTCCCACTTGCCCCAATTTGGGTAGGGGGGGGTGGGAGATTAGACATCATAGGGTAGCAGTTGTGACTCTTGAGTTGGAAGTGTCCATAGGCGTCGGTAGTCACTTACTATTAGGTTGACCGTCCTGCTCGTGGATGGGTTTCGTGTAGCTGGCCCTCGGTACTGATAAAATAAGTATTAAGCGTTTTGTTTCGTCTATTTCAGAGCGCGTCGGAGTCGTCGGCTGGCGCAGGGGGCGGAGGCACGTCGGGCGGCAGCTCTCGCGTGTCCTCTCGCTCGAGAACCTCCGAGGAACCACACATTGGTATGGACTAGACATGGAAATTATTGCAACTTTTAAATCATATTCATTTGATGAAATTATTGGTTTTAGTCACTGCGATTTCACATGTGATTGTGATTTCGTAATAGACAAAGGTGAATGACATTAAAATCATGATCAACAATAAAAAAATTACACAATAAACTACAAATTAGTTCGAAAGAATAAAGTAAACAATAAATTATTCAGGAAATAGACTATTATTGATGTAATCTGTGATGGTTTTTTTTTCTAACTCTTCGTCTTGTAGTCTTGTCATTAAGAGTTCATTTAAAAAAGCATATGACGGGTACATCAGGGGGGTTTGTTTAATTGCCTTAAGAAAATTTAAGACCACAGCAATGTGATGCCCGAAATTGGAATCGTATTCTTCGGTAACCGCAATTTATTACTACATTCCTAATTTTTTTTTCGATCTTAATAGGTTTTAAGTTCAGAACCTCATATAATCTTCTTTTAAAAAAATGCAGTTAAGGTAGTCTCATTAAAAAATCAAGAAAATATTCTAATTCTAGGGTTGGACAATATTCAGGCATATTGAGTACAGCTTATTACAGTTTATAATGATTTAGGCGTATGCGGTCGGTTAATTGTACGATATTTACTAGAATTCAATGTTAAGTATTTCTAAATCTTTAGGCATTGATTACCGCTTGAGATCAGAGGAGCCGTAAAAAATTATAATACAACAATGTGTAGACTACTCTCTTGGTAGGCAACGATTCATTTCAAGTATGTACAATTCTTGGTTGTAACATAACCAAGTAGCTGGAACGATCGATCCAGGTCCGGGCGAAGCTTCTTGTTGACCCATTTACATACTTCCACTGACTAGCAGCAACCACTAGCATTTAATTCGCTCTTACTTCAACTGTCTCTTTTAGCTTTGTCATAAATTATACTTGTGGCACAAAGTTATGCGGACATTATAAATTTAGCGTTCGTTTTAAGTAAAACATGGTTCATTCATCACAGAATTAACTTCAGCTTACGATACATACTTCTAATATAATAAATTAATAATTAACTTTAACAAAAGTTTCAAGAATCGACTTCAATGTGTCTGCCTAACGATGAATTGTAATAAAAAGTTATGTCCATTCCTTAATATTCCCCAGTGTGTATTTTTTCTTAAATTTAAATGGCACCAAACGAGAAAACCTTTTTAAATATTTATTTTTTCCAAATCGGTTAAAAATGATGGAATTCTGAGGTGACAAACATAAAAAAAATATAACAACTGAGGAGCCTCCTGCAAAAAGTGTATTTGGCGACACCCTTTCTCACTCCGTAACACACAACATCGTATCTAGAAACAAATTAGCAAGTGAGGATTTCTATGTTTCCGTTACTTGAGTGGGCAACTATACATGAACTGCCGAGTATCCTAATGCCTCCTGACATGGCATCAAACTAATCATTCACGTCAACACTGCTGATACAAAAACCTCATATATAAATTGTATGTTATTGTTTTCCAGGAAAGTACAAACTCTTAAAGACAATCGGGAAGGGCAACTTCGCTAAAGTGAAGCTAGCGAAACATGTGCCCACAGGCAAGGAAGTAGCCATCAAGATCATAGACAAGACACAACTCAACCCTGGATCACTCCAGAAGTTGTTTAGAGAGGTAATAGCGTGTTTTATTATCCATGCATGTACTTTTTTAAGAAAACCAAGTATTTACATTTCCAATTAGATTTCTGAATGTATATAGTTATTTTTACTCTTCAGAAATTAATTTAATATTCGTGTATGGGTACAGTTATCGGTCTTATTGTATTTTTTATCCGTTTGGTGACGAATTAAAAATATGAAATGTGCTACCCCTATTTATCCGTTGGGTGTCGTAAGAACCGATTAAGGGAGCAAACTACGCAGCACAATAGCCCTGCGTGGAAAAATACGAGACAACCCCCTTTTTTTTATATACCAACTCGTCTAGCCAGCATGATATATTATAGGCCAAAACCGCCTTTCTAGAAGCGGCCTGTGTGCAGCAGTGGACTATTAAAGGCTGTTGATGATGAACTGTATTTGAAACTTTATAATAGCCGTGTGTCATAACGAATGTTTTAATAATTTGCAGGTCCGAATAATGAAGATGTTAGATCATCCGAACATAGTGAAGCTATTCCAGGTTATAGAGACTGAGAAGACACTATACCTCGTGATGGAGTATGCATCAGGTGGAGAGGTTCGTGATAATGACTATATAGAACATGATATATTCTTGAAATAAAATCAGAGCAGAAAAGTCATAAAGTAAAAAAAACTGTCATAATATCTAAGTCCTATCATAATTCTTGTAGGGAAACTCTTTCTGAAGTATTCAAAAAGAGTTTAGTTTTAATCATACTGCGAAATTGGTTCTAAAACTCGTTCTCTTTCTAAAATTGTATACTTGGGGTATCCTCAAAGTATACAGTTTTTAGAAACTTAATTCAATAGTGTTAGTTCCTGTATTTACTAAGAACGAATTTCCTAGCAGTACAGTAGGATAGATTAGAACATACCACGATGTTACCAGAAGTGTGGTATTAAACTTCAAGCAATTCTCCTCTTGAATGTGCCACAACGCAGCAAATTTACTGACTACTTATGTGATACATTCCAGGTGTTCGACTATCTGGTGCTACATGGTCGTATGAAGGAGAAGGAGGCTCGTGCTAAGTTCAGACAGATCGTCTCTGCTGTACAGTACTGTCATCAAAAACGCATCATACACAGGGATCTTAAGGTAAGGGTTTTCTCAGACGGAGGAGAAACACGTAAGATGTTCATTCAGGATCTCACTTCTGTCGTTTATTTGATAAATAAGTGACAGGATTGAACTTATGACCCAATTGCATTGAACTTATTACTTCATTCAGGATCTCACTTCTATCGTTTATTTGATAAATAAGTGACAGGATTGAACTTATGACCCAATTGCATTGAACTTATTACTTCATTCAGGATCTCACTTCTATCGTTTATTTGATAAATAAGTGACAGGATTGAACTTATGACCCAATTGCATTGAACTTATTACTTCATTCAGGATCTCACTTCTATCGTTTATTTGATAAGTGACAGGATTGAACTTATGACCCAATTGCATTGAACTTATTACTCGTTAAGTCATGTTAAATTAAATTGTGTAACATAACCATACGACATGATTTTCGAATCTTCAATAATAGAGCGTACTCTCGCCTCAATGACCTGAGTTCAAGGCCTAAAGGCCATAGGCATCCATTCTCTTCCTCGTTTACCCCCTATGGCATTGTGGAGGAATGGCAGTACAAAAAGAAATAATGAAAGAACAATTAAATTGAATGAAATATTATTTAATGTATAAATATTTCATTACATGATCGTAGAGATTTAATATTGAACAGAGATAATATTTCGACTGCACGGATGGCGTAGTGGTTTAAACGGTCGCCACGCCGTTTCCTGCTACGCCGAGTGTTGTGGTTTCAAACCCCACATGGGACGACACTTTGTGTGATCCACAAATTGTTGTTCTAAGTGTGGGTGTTCTTTGTGTCCGTTTCATGTATGTTTGTTGTAATGCGGGTTGTCTTTAAAAATGATTTCAGGCGGAAAACTTATTGCTTGACGGTGAGATGAACATAAAAATAGCGGACTTCGGTTTCTCCAATGAGTTCACACCTGGAGCGAAATTAGATACATTCTGCGGTAGCCCGCCATACGCCGCGCCTGAACTCTTTCAAGGTAATGCTCTCCGCGTCATCACTGAAATTAACAAATGTTTAACGAAAACCGTTACCCGTGATATGATTAGGTCATGAAATGTTTATAAACTAACCAAATTTTATACTTAGTTTTATGGTTTTTATATAAATGGTAGTTATACTTTTAAACAGTAACAGTACTTTATGCCTATATGAAAAGTAAACTACGTCTTTTTCTGTGCCATTGATAACGTCTATGCGAAAATGCACGCAATTTAACCTGAATACCTTGGTGGTGCAGTGGTAGCGTATGCGCCTGGTGTGCTGAGGTCTCGGGTTCGATTCCCGGGTCGGACAAAATGTTTGTATAATCTGCAAATATTTGTTTCGTAGTTTGGGTGATTTCTATGTACACTATTTATTTAAAAAAAGAAAGGTATATACGTATTCTATCAGTCAATCTAGCTAGATCTAGAATCTAGCTATAGAGCTTGTACTATAGCTCTGCTTAGTTTGATATTAGATGACGTTGTGTGTTAGATTTACGATTTTTTTAACCTTTTCTAATTGTCGTGAGAGAGCCGTGCGTCGGCACCTGTGGTCCGACTCGACTGCTGTGATACCACGGCCTCACAGGAAACTGGTGTTAAGCAGTTTTTTATCGGTTGCTGCCCAAGTCAAAGGCACTTGTACTCTTATTATAGTGATAGTCATTTACCTTCAAGCCATTAAAAAGCTTAAGCTAACAGAAAAACAAACTCACATTTATAATATCATTAAGGATTATGTATATAAATATTTGCAGGCAAGAAATACGACGGTCCGGAGGTAGATGTGTGGTCGCTCGGCGTGATCTTGTACACTCTGGTGTCGGGCTCGCTGCCCTTCGACGGGTCAACGCTGAGGGAGCTCAGGGAACGAGTGCTCCGTGGAAAGTACAGGTAAACTCACCTTGTTACCAGACAAACAGCACTTGGACAGACGATCCAAAAGTATAGACTCTTAAGCTGATGCTGTATGATCACAAAAATGTACATCTAAGAGCAAGGCCAGACGATGCGTTGAAGGTGCGGTACATAATGAATTCGAAGTATAGGGTAATGCAGTGCACCGCTGTTTTTCATGGTCTCGGACTCAGTAAACACAGGGTTACTTCAGTCTGAGATAATAACAAAAAAAAAGATTATTTAATTTAATACGATACTTCCTGAATAACAGACTCGTTAACGAACAATGTATTCGAACCAATTAAAAAGTTAAAATGGTAATTAAAGGTAGCTAAACGACTATGGAGGTACTCATCCTATGAAAGGCAAATGTTAAAAATAATTGTAGCACACAATTATTCATGTTAGACACACTAAACAATACTGCGGTGGCCGCATGTCGCCGTCTCGCCAAGCCCGATGCGATACCCTACGCGTCGTGTGACACGGTATAGATATTTGTATGTACCGCACCGCTACGGCGCCGTACCGCACCGTCAACGCATCGTGTGGCCTTGCTCTTAGATGGACATTTTTGTGATCATACAGCTTCAGCTTAAGAGTCTCTTGGATCGTCTGTCTAAGTGCTTAAGTTGCTCTAAGTTACTGATATTTATGAGATTTTGAGAGTCCCCTGCATCCGTACTCTGAAGAAATTTGGTTAAACTGGCAATAGAAACTCAAGAGGGCTTTTGATTATAATAATTACCTTCCTGTTCTAGGGCTTAGTAGATATTTCATCGCCAGAAAAATATTAATATGACCGTACAACAGTGTACGGGCCGAAAACATCTTTATCTAGAATCAACCATATATATAAAATAATAACACGAAGATTGATTTACAGTTCTATAGTTTCAATATTAAGATGGCATAAAGCACACTTATAAATTATGAAATTGAAAAGGTTGACATGTAATAATATTTATTTCACGTTGCAATACAGTTTTCGGGTCAGGACAATTACTGACCCTCTAAAGTGCTAACTTAAAAGCATTAAAATACACCAACCTGATGAAGTGTATCACTCCTACTCTCCAGAAAATAGAACAATACATTATAATCGGTCATTAACCGTGATCTTCTGAAAGCAAATCTGTTAAACACTACTTTTAGTTGATAATAAGTATGTAAGTTGGTTATTTCTAAAAGCATTTCTCACAAAAATGTTTCAGAATACCTTTCTACATGTCAACCGACTGCGAAAATCTTCTTAAGAAGTTCTTAGTTCTGAATCCAGCGAAAAGGGCGTCCCTCGAAAGTATAATGAGGGACAAATGGATGAATACAGGATATGAGGAAGATGAGCTAAGGCCCTATATAGAACCACAGCAGGACTTCAAAGATCATAAGCGGATAGGTGAGAGAGCATACAGTATGTACTATTTATTCTATTCAGGATACGTTCGCGCGTAGCGTAAAGTTTGCTAGCTGATTATAGGAATCTTTAAAAAAGAAAATCTATTTGTTTGTATGGTTGCAATGTATAACGTATACTGTTAAATTTAAATTTGAAGGGTTATCACCTACTGGTCCGTGGCTTCGCTCGCGTTGTTATTAATTTTGCCAAGATAAAAAGTAGCTTATGTGCTATCCGTAAAGACTTTTTTTTGCAAAATTTCATCCAGAACCGTTCCGCCATTTTGACGTAATGGAGTAACAACTGCCCATCCATACTTTCGCATTTATAATATTAGTGAGGTTGTAAAATCTTAAGTGAAAGCTTTTATTTATTCATTAATTTTATAATTCACGCTTATACTTACGACAATATTGTAAATATTTTATACAAGTTTCTGTAGAATGTATCGTTTTGATATTTAACAAAGAGAAACTTATTAGATAGTACCGCTCGTCTAAAAATAAAATAGGTACTATTTCCCGTTTAAAGTAATTTAATAAAATAAATTAACTAAATTTATTAGTAGTATAATCTCCCATACATGCAAACAAACATTATATTCAGGTGTATAACAAGTTTTAACACAATAGTCGGCGCGCTTACCTTACGCTACACGCGGGCAAATGCATATTTAAATACAAAGAATGACGAAGGTTGTGGGTACTTGGGTCTCTAACCAATCACATTGGGGTATTTAAACTTACTGTAATTCAATAGATATTTTATACATATAAATTTTTATACTTTTATATATATTTCTCATAAAAATTGTAACAGTCCCCATTCTGACTCCGGGACCTTAAAAATATGGCATTTGAGACGAAATTTCAATGCCATGATTTTTTGTATAGTACATATTCACATCACTGCCACGATTGCTATTCATAAATATCTATCCATATAAAATTATGCCATAAATAATAACTATAAATTACCATAAACTAAGCTTTACAGCAGTAACACACCATAGCATGCTAACAGCACACGTTATTTTTAAAGCTAACAATAAATAACTGCCATTTAATTAACGTTAATAACGTTGATTGCGTTAATCTGGTAAAAAAATGTTGTTTTTTGTATTCCATGCGAACTATTGGCACAGCGCAAGTTGGTACGTCCTCAGGGGGTTGACTTATGTATTTTAGATTGATGTGTATTTTGATTTCATAATTTGGGGGAGATAAAATACAATTCTGTCTTGTTGTAAACTGTTTCCTTTTACCGTATTCCCTGTTGAATGTAAATTTTCTTCGATTTTCGATTCGATTTTTTCTTCTATTTATTTAGGAAATACATACCCTCGAAGTAGTACGAACGGGTAAGAACGGGTAGAGGTGATTAAACAGCCTCAGTTTGCCAACTATACTGTTGGTTCCATACACATACTGAAGGAGAAGCTTTATTGCCTTCAACCGGTGCAGGTGACTTAAGAGGCCTGGTTGCCCATTATACGATGACGAAAACAAGTCGCGAGAACAGAATGTTGTTTTAATAGGAAAGGGTTTTGACGATAACGTGTTGACGTGCCCCTATCAATTAGTCTTTCTAAGTTCGCATCGTTAACGTTGTATTATTGATGGGATTATATTGTAACAAACGTGTTACTGCTTAGCAGCTTTCGCATTCGCATATAACTGTTATACATATAACGATAAGACAGAATTGTTATTTTATTATACTTTGCGTTTAAACTGTTTTCTTTTTTTAATAATATTATTTTCTTATTGAAACTTATTTGCACGCATTTACTTGCTTTTATAAGATTAATACTAACGCTGTTATACATAAGGCTTTATTTTAAATTTTGGTATTTAGCTTGTCTTGTGGATTTATTTTTAATTTAGAATTAGAATTGTTAGAGTTATATACTTAAGTAATATGGTTGTAATCACATATGTGTTTATTTCGATGAGTAATTTTTGACCTATCACCGAAACTGGTTTGAAACATTCGCATATGTTTTTAGAACTGTATACCTTTATTTAATCATAATATATGAGCTAAATTTTAATGACAACGTGTTAGAACTTATTGTAGGTAAAAAAAGGTATTGGACTAAAATATTTCTTTTCGTAGGTAAAAAAATATATTGGACTAAAATATTTTTTTTTCGTAGGTAAAAAAAGGTATTGGTCTAAAATATTTTTTTTTCGTAGGTAAAAAAAGGTATTGGACTAAAATATTTTAGTTCTATAAAGTTATTTGTTTTGCAGAGATAGTACTACTACATGAATAAATAATTTTTATTTACTTCGTTCACTACTATCAACTCATGAGAAATATCTGCTCGAAAGTATGTTTTTATCTAGTGTGTACTTCTGGAATTTGAATATGTGTAATGTAAATGAAGGAAGTTTTAAGTAAAAAAAATGGATCTTGTTAGGTTTGATACTTGAAGGGCCAATTAAGCCGTATATCTTAAATAAACTATACTTTATGTGTATTCGTAAAAAAACAGTAAAAGTGTAAATTACACTCTTGTTTTATACGACATCTATAATAATGATTTTAATTATAGTTCAACTTTTTCATCAGCATTTGTGATCTATATATATTATCAACATATTGTTGTATGTACAACTAATGTGTTTTCGTTGATGTGTGTGTGTGCAGAGGCGCTAGTGTGCTTGGGTTACAACAGACAAGAAATCGAGTTTTCACTGGCCGAGGCCAAGTACGACGATGTATTCGCAACCTATCTACTGCTTGGGAGAAAAAGTACCGATGTAAGTAGATGTTTGTTTTTTTTAAATTTAGTAAAGCATTTGGAAAATTGACTTAAGATTTTTTAAGTAGGTTTCCAGTTTGTTCGAGTATTTCACTGTATATGTATAAATAATAACTTTACACATCACACACACGGCAGTTTGATCCCAAACTAAGCAAGGCTTGTACTATGATAACCAGACTGCTGATAAACATACTTATATATTTCTAAATACATACATATTATAGATAAATTACACCCAAACACAGAACAAACGATCTTGCTCATCACACAAATATTTGTCCTGGGTGGGAATCGAACCCACGACCTCCGGCTTAGCAGTTAGGGCCATTAAACACTAGACCAACAGGCCCGTCATATATCATATGTTAGCAATAATTATCTTTATACTTATAAAGCTAAAGCTTATCTTTTCATCAAATGCATTTATAATTGAGGGTATTAGTCGAATGTAAAGAATTCATTTCATAGATGATAGCTCTGGTCTTGATGAAGGTTATAGGTAATTTAAAATTACTCCACGACTCATAAAAGCGGTGTTTTATAACTTCTTTTCGTAGGAAGGTCGTGGCTTCTGAAGTTGGTATCTTCAATCTTCAGGAAACGATTGAATATCAATTCGTTAAAAATGTAAAAGTAGCATTTGCACTGCTTTCTTGATAAAGAAAGTTAATAATAATCATCAACAGCCTTTACTAGTCCACTGCTGGACATAGACCTCTCCTCAGAAAGGAGGTTTTGGCCTACTATACCACGCTGGCCAGACGGGTTGGTATAGGGTTTGTTTCAAGTTTTCCTTCTCTTTGCAGTGTGGTTGTTCTGCGTAGTTTACTCCCTTAGTCGGCTCTTACGACACCCTCGGGATGAATAGGGGTGGTGACACTCTGTATTCTTAATCCGTAATAATAATTTATTTCTCATCACAATGGTTTTCTTAACATTTAACAACAATAATGTGCCAATACATCTTGTACAGTTTCATCTCGTATTGGTAGACTTTTATTTTGCTTTCGGTTCTGCTAAGGTTGCCTTTTAGCAGAATACCCCCACTGTATATCGTGTGTCGTGTCCGCAGCCGGAGTCGGACGGCAGCCGCTCGGGCTCGTCGCTGTCGCTGCGCACCGGCGCCGGCGGGCCCGCGCCGCCGCAAGCCGCCGCCCACACAGGTAACCACACACACACTCTACGTCACCGACTGTGTCCTACATATGTCGCATACGTTTCGGAGACCTTCAAAGGGTTCAATTCGACGTGCGAACAATTGTTTAAAAACATTACTAAAGTTTTAGTCGTGTGCTAAATATGAAGAAAACGGACACAAATATATCTTATATTGATATTTAACATGAAAAAAACAGCGCTGTAAACATGCAATATCCATGGCTTTATAAATTATTAGTATTATACTTAGAAGCCAATATTTTATTTATATACGATTCCCTCGACACGACTTTATAAAATAAACGAGGCGTAGATGGCACCACTAGCACACTTGACATGTAGACTACACTGAGTTGCAGGACTTCATAAGCGGCGCTCGTCACTTTCCATCAGGTGACCCGTCTGCTAATTTGCCCCCACTTCCATAAAAAAACTACACAGAATGAGAATCATGACATTTAAAGTGAAGTTACACTTAAATGTTTTCAACTATATCGAAAACACGACATGATTGATATATAATTAAAATAACTGCTAATACATCATTTATGTATTGTTGTTGTTTTTAGTGTATTTTCTTAAAATCGATATATCAACATTTTGATTAATACACGTTTCTCAAGAGTCGAGTCGAGTCCCTTGGCAATTTTCCGTCCCTACCTAGTGATAATATAATAATTCATTTTGTTTTTAGGCCTAAACTTTCTCATTCCCAAGAAATTTTCTTCAAATTTTTAAATTTAGCTAATAAATTCCCATAGGAAATCAAAAATTGAATCCGCAGTGTGCTAATGGTGTAACTATTTAGTGACAATTCATTCAGTAAAGATCTTTTGAAGTGACAGTTACATAAAACCGCTTTTGAGCTCTTCAGTAATTCTGTTTCAGCTTGTTCTAACTTGGTATTCATTTCATTTACTTTTTACCATTTAACTTGTTTGTCTGATCATAATACAGAATTATATGACACGAAAATTGTTGTTTATACACTTTTAGTGTAACAACTATTTTGGAATGTAACGTGTTTTTGTCAAGTCCCCAAATTGGTAAACTTTAATTTTGAAGATGTTAAAGATGTTAAACGTTAGCTAATTTTTTTTCTCTTGACCTTGAATTGTTTCTTAAAGCCTATAATTCAACAGCCATTTTTTATAATGGATGCAATCACACGTTGTCATATATTTTTACCCCCAATAATATTGATCATTTAATAATATCGCTTTTTATTATTATTGTGTATTGTGTGCTTGTATGTATCGCAAAACGATCACAACCGGAGTTTACTAATACTGTTCGAATCTAATGGGTCAACGATAGTGTTCGAATCATTGCTTGCATTCTTTCATTTCTTATAGTTATTAATGAAATAGTTAATAATATTTTAATTTTGAAATTCGGATTTTTTTTATACTTTCGTTTAGATCAGTTTAAATAAACGCAAATAACATCAAAGTCATATAATGATAATCTATAGACGAATGATGCTTTTGAGAACCGTCACGTTACAAATGTTTTCGTAACCTAGTTATTTCATAGACACATCTAAAATGAAAGTAAACCGGAGACGTAGCGAAAGGTAGCGGGGGTCGAACGGTGTATGTGCGGTTGTGATCGTCGCGTATGAGGCTAACGGGGCGGGCGGGTGTGCGGCAGGGTCGGGCGGGGGCGGGGGCGGTGCTATCGCGGCGGGCGGCTCGCCCTCGCACCGCGGCGTGCAGCGCTCCAGCAGCGCCTCCGCGCGCCCCGCCGCCAGCCGCCGCGCCTCCTCCGGCGCTGAGGTGCTGCGGACGCAAGGTACACGCACCGCACGCGACACACCACACACCACACCACACCACACCACACCACACCACACCACACCGCACACCACACACACCACACCACACCACACCACACCACACCACACCACACGATACTCACTACCCGACAGCTCTAACATGAATCGACACCAAGTATTGATCTTTTGATCTTAAAAAAAGACAACGCCCGCATTAGGAATAAATCCTGTGTCGCGGGGGACTTTACAAACATACATGAAACGGACACAAAGAACATCCAGACTCAGAACAACAATTTGTGGATCACACAAAGTGTCGTCCCATGTGGGGTTTGAACCCACAACACTCGGCGTAGTAGGAAGTGGCGTGGCGACCGCTTAAACCACTACGCCATCCGTGCAGTCAAGTCAATCCGTGCATATTCAGTATCAACACAGATTTAATAGTGCAAATGCAATAAACTACACAGTCACTGCTGTGTACATACATATACACGTGACACATGGTCAGTGATAAAAACGTTAACCAAATTTTTAGATTATTTGTTACTACTCACAGAAAAACGAAATAGGTACATACTATTACAATAATCATTTAAACTTGACATGTAAACGTAACACAGATGACCTTTTCATGCTCAATAAATCTAAAACTATTTGCATCTATTTTAGAAATTAACATTAAACGATGACAAACGATTGATGAAAAGGTTGTCCATAGCTTTATACATTGGTGTGGCTTCTTTGTACAGCGTGATATATCGCTATATTCGTTAGTATTCTATATATCATTAGATACCAAACTAACTCATCAAAACGATGTGTCGTTACTTGTAAGCTTTTTATGTATCTTATAGCTCATCATGGGCTTAATACGCAAAATAGTTTTTGATATTTTCTCTATAGTTTTACTATAACCTTATTACTGCAACAAAACTTTTTCTGCGGAGCATATTAATTCAACATATATTTGTACTGGGAATATATCGTAAACTCAATTATATAATATAAAAAAAAGAATAAAGAATAGTTATGCATGCATGTTACACGTGTAACAAAAGTGGATTAACTAAATAAAAAAAAAACTGATCTATTTTTCTCTTAACGCTGTTTTTATGTATTTATTATTTTTACATTAATACTGTGTTTACTGTACTGGGCTATTGTATTTAACTCCTTGATAAAAGAGTTTACACTGTGGTGTAGATAATAATGCTATCTGGCAAAACTGCACTGTGTGTGGATCTGAGTATAAATAATTATGGCGGTTTAATATGTATGTATTGTATTTAACTATTTATTAATCTAAACAGCAACAGTTATCATGTTAATATATATTTATTATAGACGCCATAATGGACAAATGAGGGAACAATTTTCGCCTGACTGACTGACTAACTGCTAAACCTGATAATTCGAAATGACATGATAAGTAATTGGTTTAATTGGAATTAATGTTTTTGATTTAGAACTAGGGGCATTTGTTTTCATATCAAGCTGCACTTTATAGTGGCTTAAATTTGAACGCTGATTTCAACTGTCTAATTGATAGTAAATACAGTTGTTTTTATTAACTGTTGCTGTCTAGATTAATTTGATTAACAGTATATACAATGACGGTACATTCCAGTAAAATAAAATTATAATTGTATAATTCCAGTTGGTACGACCACAACAACTGCCAACAACACGACTTCAACAGCCACAACTACTACGTCCAACTTCAAAAGACAAGTAAGTGATTAATTATTTATACAGTCATCATTATTGTTTAATAAGTTATATTAAAACATTTAGAGCGAATTCTTATTTTTTATTTTATTTAATGTTAATTTTAAACTCAAATAAAACCATATCTAAAGTTTTTTTTTATGGAATAAGTGCATGCGAAAGTGGTTAAGTAATATGTTTTTCTTTTTATTTTGTTTCGATAGTTTTTTTTTTGTGTGCGTTAAATTTTTCAAAATTTTGTTCAATACCAGATGTTGTGTTTGTTTTGTGTTCAGTACTTAACATTTTTGTTTGTGCATATTCCAGAACACAATTGACTCGGCATCAATTAAAGAGAATACGGCACGGATTGCTCAAATGCAGGTATATTTTGGTTGAATATTAAAAAAAAATGACTGTGGTGTACACAGGAAATAGTCACAAGTGGGTAAGCTTTTATAATTTTCAAAGCGTCTGTTTCACGACAAAAAGCCTATCCACCTATTAAGTGTGTGGGACCAAATAGGGATGCTCAAAACGCGATGTCCTCGACGGAAGTACAGCCGTACATGTCCACGTTCACGCCTACACACTCGTTTGTGTATATATTTATGTATATTATAGTCTCGTATATTTTTGACACAAAAGATACATTTTTAAAAGCAGTCACACGTCAATAAAGAACTTTAAAGATATCGTGAGGCTAGTGGTTAATATCGCTAGCCTCACGACGTGACCGTTGCGAGTGTAGAATAAAAACGTTTGTATTGCAGGTGGCGCCAGTGGCGCGGCCGAGCAGCGCGGCGCCGAAGCTGGAGCCGCGCTCGCGCACGCTCACGGGCGGCGCGCGCCGCACGCCCACCTTCGACGCGCCGCCGCCGCAGCCGCCCAAGCTGTCGCCCCCTCACGACACGCCCAGGTACACACCTCGTACGCCCCTCCTCTACACTATGTACTAAACCGTGTACATAGCCCACACTCAATTGTACATTTTATATTAATAATAATCCCGTTGGACTACCTCATTGAATCAATTTTAGGTCATTCATATCGACAGAATCGAGGTGGTACTTTTTAGTACCACAGTGATACAGTTCAAACTGGCCACAGCCGGCCGCTGTTGATAAATTGCTTTTATACATTGATATGTCGTCGTAAAACGTTTCGTTTACGTGACACCTTCGTGATTCATAAAAACCTGTTATATACGTAAAATATATTTGTCTGACAGATACATAGTGTATATGTACTCGTAAATGACGTATCGTGTGTATATATTTATACAGTATATATATTAGATATAAAAGCTAGTGTCATAATCGCATGAAGGGGTAACTGAGGACATGAGGGACTAACAAGCATGTGTGGGCAGTGCTCCTGCGGAAAGTAAGAACGGGTCGGGCGGCGGGAGCAACGGCACGAGCGGCGCCGCGGGCAAGACGCACGTGAAGAGCGCGTCCATCTCGTCCGCCAGCGGCGCCCCGCCCCTGGGCGCCGACGCGCAGCCGCACAACGCCTCGGCCAGGGACCTCGCGCAACCGCGCCAGAGGTACTCGCTAGTGCCGAGCCGACAGTGTACTGCTTCTATTAGTACCGCGTCACCACTTTTTGATCGCTTCGATACCGCGCAGGTTTCGGTCTACACCGACTACACCGTATTTTATATGTCGCCCCCTGCAGTAGCTTGTTGCGAGCTTCTCCGTTCGTAAACGTCGAACACCGCTCGGCGGTACTGAAGTCGCTTGGCACTATATGTCGCGGTACTTTTTAGTGGCAGATTCTTCGCTTCCTGCGGTCGGATAGCAGTTTGGAGCTTTGTGCTGATTTTTTTTTTATTATCGGTCGCACTTCGATTTTTATTTGGTTCGGCTTGCTCGTTCGGAGGAGTATATATAAGGCAGCATTTCTCTGATTTTATTTCCGAAATTGCAATTAAGGTTTTATTTTATAAATAGTGAATTCAACGGCTTTATCGCTTCGCAGGGTATTATAAATTATCGCACTGTTGGATTTTATCACTCACTGATGGCTGAAATTAACTGCGGTCACATTTGCTTTAAGTTACAGTTGTGTAGATGCACTAACAAAAATATATCGTAGTCGATTGATTTTAATTTATCTAGAGGTTTTTTTCAGGTTCTGTGTGATTTAAAATATAATTGGCTGCACATATGCTTGTGTGAATAATATGTAGTTTCGTAATCTAACACATCTGTAGATATAGTAGTATGTGTGTATTCAATATATTTAAGTATATATATGTAGTTTTATATTTTGTTTATTTACATAACACTTTTTATTTACTGCACATTTTAATATATTTTTTATTTAAAGAGCTCATCGGGGCTAATTTTTGTTACATTTTATTAAAAAAATATATTCCTTTGGTTTATTAGTACATTACTTTTTTTGTTAAGATCCGTATTCCTTGTAGCACTTAGGTAGTATACCATAGCATATGTTGGATATATATAGCACAGCTTGTATGTTTGCAGCCTAAACTCTCAAGTATCAGCGACAGGCGGAGGCGCGGCCGGGACGGGCGCCCGCCGCGAGTTCCCCAACCCACTCGTCTTCCCGAGGAACGTTCCGTCTAGATCCACTTTCCACTCAGGTACGAAACATTATATCATTTTATGAAATTTGTAATTTAATGTATTTTATATTATAGTAATATAAATTAAGTTTAGTCGAGGTTACTATGAAATATGTGCTAACACACGTTTCTGTCAACAAATTCTGGAATTTGTCAGACATCATAAAACGCCTTTATTTTAGAGCTCGTATGGTTTAAAGAGGATGTAGTGAAAATAAAAGAAAATATTCTGAGTGCTTTAGACACAAATAATGTGATGTTCTGACTGAATAATGTTCGACTACACGGACGGCGTAGTGCTTTAAGCGGTAAGAAAGAAAGTTCTGAAGAAAGAATAGGTCGGAAGGGTCCGAAAGCGCCAGGCTAGTGTGGCAGGTAGTGAGCGTAGAGAGAGAAGTAGATCAGGCAAGTAACGGTGTGCGCGCGCAGGTCAGACGCGGTCGCGCGGGTCGGCGGGCGGCGCGTACGGCGACGGCGGCTCGCCGCACCAGGCGCGCCCCTCCTTCTTCTCCAAGCTCTCCTCGCGCTTCTCCAAACGGTACGTAGCCCACCGCCTTCCGTTGACCACTTTTGTTGTATATATACTCGTACTTACGCTCCACTGGCCGAGCGATCACTTTACGCCGGGCCCTATTAACCGACTAAAAAAATATTTTTTTGTACGTTCACATTTTTTCTATAGAGACAAATATACAACAGACGGTTTCCGTACCGACATATTACATGGGTTTTCGATAGCCTTGCGTGAATAACACTTTCATCCATTACGTATTATAATACTCATCCGGTAACTAACCCACGTATCTTATACTGTTTCGATAATTATTAATTTACGTTACAAATATCCCACTTAACTCTTTGCTTGAAGCTAGCTCGCTCTTAGCTCCTCATTTTTCATCACTTAAAAGACGTTTTGTATAACAGCGTATAAAGTATTATATAAAAATAACACTAAATAAATCAAACTATTTAAAAAAAGTGTCATAAAAATTTATTCATACTAAATAAGTTGATTTTTATAATATTTTAACACAGAAAGTACCTGATATTTTATAGTGATAATGTCTTTGAGTTTCTATTTAAAAAATTTAGTTAACTGCTGTTAAAACGTCTTTTATAGAGTCGTATATATATCACGCTAAGCATCATTATAAGCGACACAGCTTTCATGCACCATTGCCACCTCTCATCCTCATTATGATATAATTAGTGTTATAGTGAATGTAATCTTGTAATGGCGCCCGAGTGGGCCTCGAATCTACTCTAGTAAATGTTTAAAAAAAGGGTTGTGGAGAAAGACTCGTGATTTTTATGTTTTACTGAGGAGTACTACATTTCGGATGGTTAATTGGAGCTGTGATTGATTATATTTTGTTATTTTAATAAAATAAAAAGTTTTTATTTAAAACACTTCAAAAATATCACGCATTTCTTTTTTATTTAAACACTTCATATTTTATAACTTGGAAAAAAAAGTATTTTCATACCAGCTCCATATAATCCGTTCACGACTTAGGTTTTCTTTTCTACTTTTATTTGTAAATAATTACACCATAGACACACTATCTGTCTCTAATTAGTCACTATTAACCCATTCGTTATGTCTCGTATGTGTAAATCATTATGTGTGTTTATTTATTCTTTTTTTTCCTATTATTATTTCTTAAGATCAAATTGTCTCCCTCTTAAGACTCCGAGCTCTTTTTTATTTTGAATCTCGCGTCAATTCAGGGGATGCACGATGCTACCTACCTCCCGTTTCGTCGCACTCGAACTGCCGGTGACCGCGCAATGTCCTCTCAGTCAACTAAGTAGTTTAGAACCAAAGCATGGCATACTCCCCTTATTTATTTTTTACTGTTTTTTTGTTATTAGTTTTGCTAAAGTGAAGTGTTAAATTAAGCCCCAGACGCCACGCCTATATGCTTTGAGTGTTGTCCGTAGTGCTTTGTCAATAGTAAATAATTAGAAAAATTACGTAAGTACTTTTTATCTTGTCGACCTTTTAAGAGGTGTACGGAAATTAAAAAAAAAAACATAGTTAAAAAAACATGTCTCGTGCATCCCCCGTGTTGCGTATAATTTTTTTACCTAACCGTACGCTTCTACTAACGTTTGTCGACGGTCGCGACCTCTACCGGTAGCAGTTTCGCTTCTAGTCTATTCCACAACCCTTTGATTGCAACGTGACGGACTTTTATACGTGCTATGTTTTGTTTTTACTTTTTGACGGAGGGAGTTGCGTATAGTATTGTGCATCTTGTGTTGTGGCGGGAGAGTTTAGGGTTGCCATAGAGATTTAATAAGGTACATTTGATTCATTATCCTTTAATTATTTTCAATAATCAGTGAAATGATTTGCCGGATGCTACAAAAAATTATTTTTATAATATGGCAATCCTATGAGTGTGCTTAAATCGAGCCGGATCCAGAAGAGGGGGCGATTCACCTGATTGGTCGATTCGCTTACCCGTTCCGTTGTACGCAGGTTGAATCAGAACCCGTGAAGACGTCGCCGAGTGCAGACCTGCAATGGAGATTATTAAATATTACTATTAATAAATTATAGGGAATTATATACAATACGAAAGCTTCAACGATTGAAGAACTATTTTTTGATCGATGGAGTATATTTCAGTGATATTTGGTGTGTTAATGATACTATTAAAACTAATATCAAAAATACAATCATCAGGGGTTTTTTTTATGATGGACATAACATTGATATCGAAAATATTTGCAAACATGGTAGGAATTTATTATAATCTTGAGATAGTATTTTTAATACACTAAATGTGTTTATAACATGATGTTGTTCATAAGTGTTAATCTTTTTTATAATTGGCTTAGAAATTTGAAAAATCTTTTTTTTTTAGTTTACACTCAATTAAAAATTCGATTTGTTATCATTATTGTCATTATAAAAATCGCGACGACTTCTGTCTACATGTTATTTTATTGAAATTTCGTAAGAATTTTTTAAATTAAATTTCTCAGCTTTGCGCGTTTTTATGAGAAGTAAATCGTACACGATTGTGGGAACAAGCGAGAAACAATGTTGACTTTATTATTTTCTTGAAATAATGTGTAGCGGATAACTAGTCCCGTCGCGAAATGCATTTTATCACTAGCTCCTAAGACGTATAGAGTTCTAATTTCGAGCGAATTTTCAACATTCCAGGGTTCCGTACGTATTTTTAATATTTAAGTTTACAAAAAAGCACAAAACTCATTTTCTTTCTGTTTGATATTGCATATTACTATCCAAATTCAGAACTCTGCCTAAATCGTTTATAATATCATCGACTGAAAATAATATTTTGTATATTTGTATTGCATATACTATGTAAGTACCTAAGTATTGTATTCTGTGTATAAATCTCGACTTTTTTTTAATATGTTCCATATAATATAAAAGTGTTGCCACTTTTGTTTCCTTACAAACCTTGTGACTGAACTAACAAATATTTTCCAGTAATGGTCCACAGTAGCAATCATTATTATAATTAAGGTGTGAGTGAGATAGTTATCAATATACACATATAGAAAAAACGTATATAAGTAAACAAAATACCTGCGTATAAAAGTATTTTTTAGCTATAAGATTGAAAAAAAAACCTATAGCTTTGGTACAAATACTCAGTAGATGTTACTACATACGGATTAACGCGTTTAGGCAGCTGTATTTTAATTTAAACAAATTCATTTAGGGCCAAAATAAGATAGTTTCCTTACTGACTGTACCCTACTGTGTAAAGTCAAGTAAGAAAGTAAAAACAGAAACATTTTTTTAATGGCAATAGCATATATTTGATGACATATTTTTGTTTACTACTGTACCTTAAAAGTCTAGTAGTAAACCTTGTAAAACAAAAATATAGATAGTTTTAATATAGATATGAAACTTTCTAAATGTCCACGTGTAAACAAACATAAAGAACATTTCATCTCGGCAGATCCATAAGTGTCTCTTATATATTTCCCTATAGATGGTACTCATTAGTATATTATTAAAACTAAAACATTAAGTTCGTTGAATAAATTGTACATATACAATGTTTCGAGTGAGAGAGTGAGTGTCACGCGTTTGACGTTTTCTAAACTTTTCTATATCTCTTGAAAAGTCCATTTTTAATATCTATAAGTGTAAGTATTTATATATTATATTAATATTTTATTTTCAATTACATCTTAATAATTATATCTCTGTTTGGAATATACGCTTAGAACTATATCTAAGTGACTTATATAGTTAGAAAGCGTTATACAAAAAGATATATTATTATATACATTTTATTTACTTTTATATTTATATCTGTGTCCTAAAGCAATAAAAGATTTAAATTATATACTTGAATGTCTGTATTAACTATATAGGAAATTATTTAGACAATTTTGACAAACTTGTTAACTCTAGCTCGACTTCAATCATTTTATAATTTTTTATATATTTTAGTGATAAATATTTTTGAAGAATAAGTAAAACATGTCCTTGTTTTTCATTATACGCTGAGAGAAAGAGACAATATACTTTATTCAGTTTCAAAAATATATATTACAGTATGTTCTATGTATATTATTATTGTTCAGTATTTTTCCATAACACAGTAGATAGTGTATTGAACAAATTTGTCAAAACTTGGGTGCTGTTTGTAACGACAACCCGGTGTGAAATATATTAACTTGTATGTAAAAATAAAAATTAAACTTGACATCTCCTTTGAAATACGATGCTCAAAAATATTCCATTCGTAATATAACTTCGCAACACAGGTATAAAATCTACCACAAACTTAAACGAATTCGTTCATAGACATGATTTTATATCACTAAATGGTAGAAAAGTTTGTATGTTTAGATTATTTTATGAAGTATTTTACAGTTGCATGATACTACTGCGAAAATAATTGTGTTGACACAAAATGAAATATTCTTGAGCAACGCGTGGATTTTGACATTTATTTTAAATAAAATATGATTGGGGATATATTAATTATATATCAAGAAATAGAAAATCTATAATTTTTGTACGCACACGAATAGTGCATTACTTTTTCTGTGAGCATTTTTTTACTTGTAAGCAATAAATAAATATATTCTGTAATTATTACATGATTTAGGAAAATGCAATACATTCTAACTTAGTTCGCTAAGTGTAGTTAGATATTTAATTTTATTACTTTACATCCGATGTTCTTTTATAAATAAATATATATTTAAAACGCTTTGCGTCTTCAAGTAAGTAACAAATATGATCTTTAAATGCTTTAGAGAATTTAAAAGTACTGAGAATTACTATGGGAGGGCCTGGTTTCGTAACCTATGGGTATACTCGACTTCAACTGTACTACGGCTTTACAGACAACTAATTTAATTCTTGTAATAATTAACTAAGTGAGTGAGGTTAGCGAAAGCTCAACCACCCTAACTTTGGAGGACTAGTAGGGGGCACTCGAAGGTTGACAACTTGTGTCTCTTAAGTTTCGGATGTCCGTGGGTGGCGCCAGATGACCCGTCTGTTCGTTTAACTTTTATGCTGTAAAAAGTATGCACAGGAATTAATGCAACTAACGCTAACTAACAGGTATTATATACCTTTAGACTGAACATGTGTCTGAGTAACCCTGTGACTACCGTCAACCTAGTCGAAAAATCAGGCGATTTAAAGGTGCTTAGTGCCCGTGCCTGTTAATTACCGTGTATAAACATAATTGAACTTTATCGTTTTTTCGTTATTACTTTCTTTATTCGATATCTTAGTCATCATCACATCAACAGCCGTTAACAGTCCACTGCTGGATATAGGTCTCTCTTTACAACGCAGTTTTGGCCTTCTATACCACGCTGGTCAGACGAGTTGGTCTATACTTACCTGTTGTCTTGCGTTGCTTTCTCCCTTAGTCGTACGACACCCACGGGATGAATGGGGGTGGTGACACTTCGTATTCTTAATCCGTCACCACACGGAATAATATCTGACGGAACAGAAACTTTACATTCAATATCTTAGTAAAATAATTATCTTACTTAATTCTTCTGAACCGGTGAATATGTCCATTGAACTAACCAGTACTTTTAAATACTCTATGGCAACTAAATATTTAAGTCATAATTTCTGTTTTCTAAAATCATGGGCATTGTTAAGATGCATTTATTAAAAGTAGTCTTAGGTGTCTGTTAATCCCTCGAGATATTATTTTAGTAAGAAAATATAGAAAAAAAAACAAAAGTGAGTGTTTTTTTAAATTGTAAAGGCACCGAAGTCTGCTATAAAAGAATTAAGTTGACCTATACATTGTATATTCAAGTATGAATACCGATTTTGTTTTGACAGTACGCAATAAATGGATGTGTTACGCTTTTCCAAATAATCAAGTTTTTAATAACAAAAAACATGTGTTTTATTTTTAAAATATACATGGTACATGTATATACCTTCTCCCTCCGTATATAAATGAAAATAGGATATTATGGTTATTATTAATACCCGTCACGTTGTGTTGTTGCTTTTATGTAGGGAAGTATATTTATACTGTAAGTAGTTTTTTGGAGAGAAACTTTTATCGCCTTGTGAAAATACTTTAATTGATAATAAGTTTGAAGTAGTTTAAACTATTTAAAAACAAATAGAGACCTAGCTTTTTTTATTAATACAAAGTTTGCAATACGGCGATAAATGTTGCTAATACGTGTTATTAATGTTAAGTGCTAAGAAAACATTCAAGCTGTTTTTTATTCAAGTATTCACAAAAAAGCTAATCATCTCTTTGTCGTCCATCAATTTATGAGTAAAATATAATAATATGGTGAGTATTGTCCTGGCAGACTGTCAGTACTGGGGGAATCGACCGGACGACAGAAACCGCGTATATTTTCCTCCCTGGACATACAACGGAGGTAGGGTGACGCGCGGAATAACCAACCTTTTTGCTCAGTTTTTTCTTGGTTCTAAAGTTTTGGTGGTTCGCGAAAGATGCTGTTGGTGATTCTGATGACACGAGGCAAGATGTACAGATTGCATAATTAGGATTCTTATTACTGTTCTATACGTATCTTCTGTTTTTTCTAAAACTTTACATATATTCAATAATTGAGAATTAAGTAATGCTTTTAAGTGTCGAGACAATATTTTTTTACGTCTAAATTTATATTTTTTCAAAGTGAATTATAATATTCTTACGAATTAATAAATTATATTTCTTTTAATTAAATGACCCCTCAAACTGTATGGTAAAGAGTTACATATACTATTTAAACTCTCATTGGGTTCGTACAGTCATAGAAGGACTCAAGGGTCATAAAAAGACACTAATAAGACTTTGCTCATACAAAAGTAACAGATTGTTTTCTACAAACAATATTTAATCAGTTATAGGCACAGTAATGCGAACTCAGCCTTATGTTACAAATACGAAAACGTTAGCGAACTTTAGTTCCCCTACCGAGGGTCGAGTGCAAGTTTATTTCACATCAACTCGCTCTCGACAGCTAGCACCTTCGGCGTTGCGATTGATGAAGATTTCGGTGCGATTGGTGAAGATTTCATTGCGATTGGTAAAGATTTCGGTGCGATTGGTGAAGATTTCAGTGCGGGCCAATCGCAACGACGATCGAGTAGATGTGTTATAAACCCACACTCGGGCCTCAGATCGCGTTGCTAACTGTCGTGTTAATAACTAGTAGTATTACTTGACTGCCTCGGTGCTGCAGTAGATAGCGTATGCGTAGCGTACTGTGCTGAGGTCTTGGGTCAGACCAAATAATGTTTGTATGATCTGCAAATATTTGTTTCGGAGTTTAGGTGTTTTCTATGTATAAAAGTATTCTATCAGTCAATCTAGCTTTCATAGTACAAGCTCTGCTTAGTTTGAAAGTAGATGGCGTTGTGTGTTACATGTCCCAAATATTATTTATTAATTTATAACTTAAACAAAATTTTAACCATGTATTTGTAGTTAGAACTGCAGTGGTGCAGTAATAGATGCATACATACATCTAAACAGTGTTGCCAGTTTAAATCGTAAACATAGACGTCAGTCAAGACATTTTATCTCGTGTTCATCAATTTACCATTTATCATGTATCGTTCAGCGAAAGGATAACTAACGAAATGCCTTTGTGTGTGATTTAAGACGTAGTCCAACTGATTTGTACTTGATTTAATGAAGAAGCATGGTTTTATTATAATACATTTAAAAAAAATATGCATGTATAAAAATATTTTTTTAATTAAAATTTTAGGGTATGTTAATATTGTCGGTGGTAGTGCAATAGGGTGTTAGTAACGGTTGTTGCTCTTTGATAAATAAATTCTGCAAGAAGAAGGATTCCTTCTATTTATGCTTACAATACATATTCTATATAGAAATCCAAATTACGCATTTTATAGCAACTGAAAAGATAATTTTAAAAATTGCCTATTAAGACTAAGGTCGGACGACTAACGGGTTAAATGCGTCAAAATCGTCCTTCATGAAGATAAAAGAAATTAATGCTTATCACCTGTCTTCTGTAAATAAAAATCCAAGGATTGATGTCGCAGACGCCCTTCGATTTAGTCGGATCCACACACTAGGGCATGATTTTATAAAACTTAATGAGTTTGACCAAGAAGGGATTTGCCGCTGTAAAGGAACAAGAAAGAATAAAAAGAAAATTGTGTGCGCTATTGTACTCTATCATTAATGCTATACGAGTATATCTCTTAAACACCGATATAATTAATAATAATACAATTTTTATTAATTCACATTACTTTATTATAGTACTAAATTGGCTGGATTACTCGTCGTAAATAACAAATTTAACCCTTTGTTTTTTTTTTTGTTTTTTTTTACTGACATTTTTGAGATTAACATCATGAGTGTTTGCATTATGATTTTGATTTTTACTCTAATTCCTATTACAAAAAAGACGATGCATGCAAAAATGATGAAACCCTAAGTTTTAATACTAAACTTGGTTCTCTTTTTGTAATTGTTGCATCAATATACATCTTTACACTTTATCAAAATTACATAAATTTTTTTTTTTTGGGTAATGGCTTGAAATAATTTTAAGTATATCAACTACTGTTAGAAAAATTGAACGGCGGTTGTACTGAAGGTAGGTTGAATGCGTATTTGTAATGTGTTGTGTGTTCGCTTGCCGTTGCGCGCTTGTTTTTTAGATCAACCTTCAATATATGCACTTCCTATAACATTGGTAATATTTTGTAGTACGCCCCAAAATTTGGGAAACTATTTGGTGCTACGGATTTTTTTTATTTTAAATGCAAAATTTTGTCTCTAAGGATTTCGACATATAGAATAATTTAGTAGGTATACATTTATATTTTAGGTCTGTGCATCTATAATCCATTGAATATAATATGAATTATCTATAAGTGTATTCATCTTTTATAATATGAATAATGTTATGTATTTTTTAATAGTGAGATTGAAGTTGTGTTACATTAAAAAAGGGATGTGTATTTAATGGTATTACAAATGTTAAGTGGGAGGTTATAGCGATTGGCATATAAAAGTGCGTATTACAAATTACCAATGTGTGTATGTACAGCCGACACCCTGTGCCCTAGTGTTTAGTGTTAGTTTATGTTTTTCTGTTTTTAGGCCATTGGACGGTCCCACCCCGAAGCATGCAGTAGGCGCTAGTCCGCAAGCCATGCTTGGGTAATTATCCTAATTCATTTTATCCTCTGTCGTTTTTTTATTGTCCAGCAAAGACGCCGTTTATACTCTGTTCTCTTTCTCACTTATCTTCTTCTAAAATAAACGGTTTTTATACTATTTTTAGTTTGTTAAACGTTAACTGAAAGCGCGTTGAGATTTGCTGACTCGATTGTCTTGATCAATTTTACTTTTTTTTTTATTTTAAAATTTTTATTCATATATTTTCACGGAAAATATAACACAATGGCTTCATTGTGGAAATTAGGCCCTTAAAACACAGATATTATGTCACTTATATAAAATATTATAAGACATTAAAATTGTTGCTCTGTTTCCCTGTCACCTAAATACATTGACATTAACACTATTCTAACAATTACATTTCCACGTTGTGAATTGTTCTTACGATAGTCGAGGTAAAATCAGCTTGCATTCTGTTAACTGACTAACAAAGCCGTTTTTTTTTTCATTAATTTTCATTAATTTTCATTTTAATCTTTATAACAACTTGGGATTTAATATCGAACATTTATTTGTTTTGTATTCCAACAAGATTGATCTCCGAATAGTTATATTTTGTCATTTTTTATTGATAATGTGTAATATGGTAAGTCTTCCTGAAATATGAGAACCAAGGATAGGATACACTTCTGAAAATACTTCATAGATATTAAGATATAGGGTTTGGTAAGTATAAAAAAAACGTTATCAATTTAGTTGATTTTCGTATAATAATTGACTAAATTCGTTAAAAGGTAAGTTTCTTGAAGGTTTTTGCTTAGTCTTAACTAACTTAAGTTAACTTAACGTAACTTAAGTTTCCTTAGTCATATTAATAAATTTAATTCAAAATCTCCATTTTGGACACAATTATAACATACTATAAATATCATACAATTATTTATCAAAGAAAAATGAGTTAAAATAATATAAATGAAGTAGAATTTAGTGCACTTGTGTTAAAACTAAACCTAAAGTCTAAATTGCCTGGATTAGAGCCGAGTCCTATGTATCAGTATAGAATAATTTAAAAAATATTATCAAAAACCATTTCTTTTTTTTAAGACATGTTTTGAACACAGCTCAGTATAGTGATAGGCAAAAGTCTTCGGTTACACATGATGCATGAAACATAATCTCTAAAAGTTACACAATAAGGCTTATTTTAATCAATCAAATGAAATTGGGAGCTCAGCGTTATTAGCTTGCACAACAAATTGGGTTATATAAAGGTACATAATAAGACCTTTTGTGATTGGAATATTTGTTATGTTATGTTAAAAAGACAAATGATTGGAAGTAATAAGTTGGGAGTATAGTACATATTCTAAAGGGACACTTTTTTTTTCCGTGCGTAAATCTCCTCGTATACCACCTATCGGTGGCATGTCAGACTCGAACCGACTAAAACCGCACGCCGTCTCGGGTACTAATAGCCGGGGAACCAGGTATACCCTAGAAAGGAAGTCCCTGGTGCCCCGACATACCTCGGGCTATCTGCAACAACAGGTAGACGACCCCCCCCCCCCCGTGTGGAAACCCCATGTTCCCTCTACTCCCGGGAAACGAGCGCGCTTCGCAACGCGATCGCCGCCATCCCGGCCTGCTTCTGCTAGGGTGACAGATGGCCTCACCTGTCACCCCCAGGCCTGCGCTTATGGAGGACGGAGGTCGTTGTGCGACCTCCGTTGCCTGAGTCGCCTGCGGTACCTGGCCCGTTCCCGAGCCTGGCGGGCCGGGAGAGTTCTAAACCTCTCCCGGTCCCGCTCCGCCGTCTCCTTCGCGAGCACAACTTGCTCGCAGAAGGAGACGGCAACTATGATTCCCTCTGTGTTAAATTATTAATGAGGTCGTTCAATTAATATACCAAAACGAAACTGTTTTAAATACTAGCCAGCCTATGCTAATAAGTAACTCATAAAGTTAGGATCAGGAACATGGCCTAAAAACGAATAAACTCCCTCTGTATAAGTTTGAAACCAGTCCTTTAAACAAACACCATTGATTTTGTTATTTTAATATAGATATACTAGCTGTACCCTGTCACACTTCGCTGTGGCACATGGTGTTTCAAAAAATGTACAAAACCCATGTCGTAAATCGTGTCAAAGTTTGAGCTCAATCGGTGCAGAACTTTTTGAGTTATTGAAGCGTATACAAACCAACTTAACATTTTTAACTGAAACTGCAGGATAATACCGCTATAATAAGCATTAAAATTCTAATAACGATGAATAGTATGTTTTAAAATAAATAGTAACATTTAAGTTTCACATTGCATCTTTGATTTTCACCTTTCAAAATTATTTCAAAACTCGTTCCAAATATCGGCAACGATAATTAGTACTTCACAATTTTTAATAACCATTATTTTCATCTTGAAAGTTAATATCTCCACACTAACACAAGTGTTAAAATGCGAGATTTTGGATTAAATTGGAACACGAGTTATGAAAGTTGACCGGACTGAAGTTAGCAATGAGATGGTCGCAATGAATTTGTTTGTCACTAAATTTTAATTGTGTAGTACGACTATAAGGCGAGTCGACAGATCTGAATAGGCATTAGAGAGAAAGGAAATAGTGCAAAGGAGGGACGATTGCGTACATCTTTTCGTTCTCTTTAACGCCTAGAAATGTGCCGGATTGTTATATATTCGTGTACGCGAATACAGATACGTATAGGGATAAAAATAAACTCATCTAGTGCCAATATGCGTGACCTAAAACGGCAATTGACCTTGAGAACTACTTAACACGATACTTCAAATATGTCGATATATCACGTTATATCGATATAAATAGAGACAAATATTAATTTTTATGAACATTTTAGAATTTCATAAACTCAATAAAACATAACTGTGCAAAAGGTGCGTTCAAGAAACGACAAAAAGAAATGAATACGGATCTTTTTTCCCATGTATAACGGGGGGCACGGATATCCATCATTATTATCAACAGCCTTTAGTAGTCCACTGCTGGACATAGGCCTCTCCTTAGAAAGGAGGTTGTGGTCTACTGTACTACGCTAGCTGGCTTGATGTAGGGTTTGTGTCAAGTTTTCCTTCTCTTTGCAGTGCTGTTGTCCTGCGTAGTTTACTCCCTTAGTCGACTCTGTATTCTTAATCCGTCATCACACGAACATGCGGTACGTAACTATTAGCGACTGGCATAAATACAGAGAAAATATCAAGCTAACTTCACTCCGATCATCTTAGGATTCTTGAATTGTATTTACTAATTTTTACCTTTACAAATGCATGTAGCGAAATGTATATCTTCAATTGATCATGAAAAATAATTAATTCTGCTTAATCCCAAATTTTAATTTTATTGCCAAAGTTAAAGCTGTCTTTCTTCTGTCTATTTTATTCATTTGCCATTATATTTATTTAAAATTACTGTTTCGTATTTCGCACAGACAAGGCAATGAAGAGCAAGTAAAACCACGCGTCCTGCGATTCACGTGGAGCATGAAAACCACCTCTTCTCGAGATCCTAATGAAATTATGGCTGAAATACGTAAGGTGAGTCATGTAATATATTTTATTGTATAAAGTATAATTCTTTTACAATCTGTTAAAAATGGACGGCTGTTAGCGGTTGAATGTATTCTTCAATAAGTTGCTGCAAGAATAGAAGACCATCTTTAAAACTACCGAGGAATAAAGCGCATGGGACATAGTATGATAGTCTGACAGATTATAATTGAGAGAAGAGTGAGAGAGGAAAGTGTAAATTCTCGAAACTAATTTGGGGATATGCCTAGCCGCGGTTTTGCACTACGCCAACTTTGTGAGCAATACAGACGTTTACACAAACATAGGGTGTTTGTTGATTTAGAAAAGACGCATGACAGACATTATTTTAATCGTAAATTAAATAACAATATTAAAAGTTATATTGTAACTCAAAAATTATGTCTGATTTTATGTATGTTTTGTTTCAGGTATTAGACGCAAACAACTGTGACTACGAACAACGCGAGCGGTTCCTTTTGCTGTGTGTGCACGGTGACCCTAACGCAGATTCCCTTGTGCAGTGGGAGATTGAGGTCTGCAAACTACCCAGACTGTCGCTCAACGGAGTGCGCTTTAAGCGGATATCTGGTATGTCAAAACATAAACCCATCACATTTTTAGCTTTGCTCTTACCTTGGGAGATATAATAATGTACTATTTATAACTTAAATACTTTTTCGACTATCATAAAGTGCTTAATAGTTGTCGTTTGCGTAAAATATATGGAGCTATTACGTCGCTATATCAACCTAAGTAACACAGCGAAGTAAGAAAGGCATTGTTAATGGGTTTTTACTGTCGGACAAAAATATATATTCTTCTAACTATATTAAAAAACATATAATGACATTATGAGGTTATTTAGATAGAGTGTAAAAGCAATGGTCTCGGAACTCTACCTTGAGTTACTCCTCTGGTAATGTGGACATAAATGCGTATATCTGTGAAGTCTTAATTTTTTTTTATTATTGCTAATGATTGATTTGTTTAATATCTTTCGGTCTGGTCTGTTTGATGTCTTTTATAGTTTAAATTATGACGTTAATGGTGCTACAAGAGATGAAATGCCTTTGACAAGACGAAGTATGGGCTGTAACAGTTTTTTTTTTTTTGAGAAACAGGATCATTACATTTATTATTATAAACATTTGGGGCTAATCGAGCAGTTAATTTTATAAAATAAGCCAACTCAGAATAGCGTTAAGTCGATATTTAATAAGTGAGTAATAATTATATTCGTGATTGAAAATATAAGGGTAGTTCTAGAAATTCAATCGTCGACGACAAGTCGTTAACGCACAGTAATAAAATTATGAAAAAACTAGGGTGAGAGCTAGCTCAGTGAACGCAATCATAAACTCGTTTCATCATCGCATCTCGACGTCTCAGGTACGAGTATCGGGTTCAAGAACATCGCATCGAAGATCGCGAACGAGCTCAAGCTGTGACTGCCCGGGAGCGGGGCGCGGCGGCGGCGGCGGCGGCGCGGGGCCGGCGCGGGGGCGGGCGCGGCGCGCGGCACGTCGTCGGACGAGCGCGAGTCGCCTCCGCCCCCACCGCCGCCGCCGCCGCGCTCCGACTCGCTGCGCCTGTCGGCCGACGACATGGCGCGCGTGGCCAACGGCGGCGCGCGCACGCCCACCGGCACGCTGCGCCACTTCCTGGCCGCGCCCGGGCCCGCCGAGCGCGCGCTGGCCCGCTCCGACTACCTGCGCCCGCCGCTGTCGCCCGCGCGCGGCGCACCCGAGGCGCCGCGCTCCTCGCTGTCGCTGCGCGTGGACGACGAGCCGCGCTCGCGGCCGCGCCTGGCCCCGCACGCGCACTCCTACAGCGTGCACGCGCTGCGGCGCCAGGGCCGCGCGCGGTCGCCGCCCTCGCCGCCCTCTCCGCCCTCTCCCCTGTCGCCCCCCTCGCCTCCCGAGTGCGACTGCCTGCCGGTCGACCCCATCCCCCCGCCGGAACTCTTCGATTTCTGAGGCGACCCGAACGCTCGAGTTTCGCTCCACTTTTGTATATTCGGAATTAAAGTGTCCGCCGGCCGTTCGTTTTCCAATTTGAATTTCCCGCTCTCGACTCACCGAGACCGTCGAAGTTGAGGTTTTGAAATTAAATAATAAAAGTATGAAATGTAAAAAAAAATAGAAATCTCGATTTTGTATATTTCTGGCGGCCCCTGCAGTGTCTTTTCATATTTGAAAACGAACTCGGCCCCGACTCGAATTTATATTATTGTTCGATTTATAAATCGGTCGTCGACCGCGGCCGGTGTCGGCCGTGGCTCGAGTTGTTCATCGACTGTATCGTATCGATTGTTGTGTTGCTGTTAGGCGGTGGTCGCACGGTCGAGCGAGCTCGCTTGTATGAAATAAATGAATTGATCGTGACTTAAAGAGTTTTATTTGTCGATAGTAGTGTTGGACAAGGTATGGAGCGTATATATGTGCCAAGTGGTAACCAGGGAGTGCGACGCAGTGTTTTGATCTTTATCTATCATAGTTAATCACCGCTCTCGATTCAGCGCATCTTTGTATAAATAATTTTACTCGTGTCATGAATTTTTATTATTACATGATTGTTTTTTTCTGTAGATAAGTCAGTCTGTATGTCCGTGTGTGTCGCGCGGTTTTTATTTAATTTATATTTGGAGTTGTTTGTTTGATGAAATCGTGTTTTTTTAAAAGACATTATTTTATGGTACTCGTGCGGGTCGCGCACGGACAGACAGTGTTATTGTGCTATCGCTTATATACTACATTACATTATGTATTTTAATCGTTGTAATAATGTACAAAGTGAGTTTTAGCTCAACAGATACAATATAGCTTAGTGTTAATTATATTTTTTTTCATTTCCCTATATAACAAAATATAAATACAAAATATGGCTGTCTCTGAATAGCGATATAATGTTTATAATGTCACTGTAAGTCAATATTGTGCGTCCAGTTTACTTTGATACTCTGTATCTTAACTAAAGTAGGGTAATGAGTGTCAGGTTAGACCGGCCGGATGATGCGCGGTCGCCCTGCACTTGAGTCTTTCTAATTGCAAGGCTGAATTAGAAAGTGTCATACGATAATAGTGTGGCTGTACTCGTTGGGGCACACTTGTAACTTAGGAATGTTATAGTCACTTCACTTTAACGCATTTCACGAATGGTTGTTCATTTGACTCAAAAAAACCCATTAGGATCTTTATCTGTTTTTTTAAAGCACTGAAGTTTTTATAAAAAATGCTTACGTTATTTTTTCTTCAATATTTTTCGTCTTATATAGTTATTTATTCAACGTAAAAATAATGTATTGATGAGTGATGTGAACAGCCACGTAAAATGCGTTTATAAACTTTTTAGATGTGTAATTGTGATCAAAGTATTACGCCGTTGTAGTTATACATATAGCAATAATCGTTATTCGTCAGGTCGTGTAACTTTGAACTACTATACTATCTACTCGATGTAATCAGCCTTTCGATATTGTAAACTAAAAATGTTTATTTTTCGATTTGTGTGATGCTTTTGTTCGTATATTTTTTTCGTGTGGACTATCGCATACTCTAGGTGATAAATATTGTTATAATTAAATAAGTACGTACGTGTGTGCGTGGGGGCGATCGCGTCACTTTTTCTATTATATAATTAAGTGTAGTGTTATAACTTTTACATGAATCACAAATTCTGACGGTTCGGACGACTGTCGTGTTGTCTGTGTCATTTTGGCGCCAAAACTAACCTCCAATTTATAAATGTCACATTGAGTCTGCAGTTTCTTTGCTCAAGTAAACAAAATGTAAAAATAAATGAAGTAGAAAAGTTTAAATCATGTTTTTATTCACACACTTCTATCAAATGTGTCTGTAGTTTTAACTAAATTGTGCCGCCGACAAAATTATTATTAAAAACTAAAACTAGAATATTTTTATTTTTAATGTCACAACGAACATGATCATAAAGTGGAGTATAGTTTTAATGGAAATTTTATTTTTATTATCTATGGTTTACTTCACAATAAGGTAAAGTTATGGTTCTCCCTGTTCACACGATTCGAGGGTAAATAGTTATATTAGCAAAATGTACAAGATAATACAAAATATATAATTTACTTTGGAATAATACATGTATAATACAATACAATACAATACATGTGTACAATACGACGCGACTAGTTGTCCCGACATACATAATACTGTTTTTAATGTAGTTATATATTTATATATATATGAGCTTTGTTTTATAAATAGAGTAGTACATTTTGCCTGCGAGGTTGACGCGTGTGAAGAACTTTGTGAGATATTCAAAATGAAAAATAAATTTTATTTTTAATTCCAATATTGTAGTTTGTTATTTAACCGTTATACATGTGTTTAATTGTTTAAATAGTTAAAAATAAATGAGCAATATAAAGAATATTGAATTCTCATTCTGGAAATACGTCATAAAAGTTTGTATTATTGTTGAAAATGATTGATTAGAAAAACTAAACAGTTTTTGTTTTACACTTTTTAGCTAAGGAATTCAAGTCCCAAACTTATTATTCCGGCTCGAAAGACCACATGTTAACGCCTGTAACATGTATAAATAGGAGCAATCTGTATGGAATATTATAATTCTATACAGTATTGCTTGAAAGACTTGAAGGACTATTGCTTGAACTTTAACGTAAGTGAAAGTGAGAGGCTAGTTTTTCATTATCTTTTTATCGGGCTATTAATGGAGGCTTAGCGTGAATCCTTAATAATTCCCTGTATTGTCAGAAAATTTACCTATCTATGAAATAGGTTTTAAGTTATATTTAATTTTATAAAAAAAAATATCCTAAAAGGCCCCTCCTTAGAAAAGGAAGTTTTGGCCTACTATATCACGCTGGCCACACGGGTTATTATAGGGTTTGTGTCAAGTTTTCCTTCTCTTTGCAGTGCTGTTGTTCTGCGATGTTTGCTCCCTTAGTTTCTAAGGAGAGGCCTTTGTCCAGCAGTGGACTATAATAGGCTGTTGATGAGATGTGATGATTATCCAAATAGAAACACAATATAAACAATATATTTTTTATTTGTCTTTCAACAATTCTACACAGTTATTTACATTGCTTACTTAAAATAAATTAAAAAAATCGAGAACTAGTATCTAATCGTCAAAGAAACCCCTTTAATGAGAGTCTGAAAACAGGTACATCGTCAAATATTTAGACTTTATTACTCTACTTCGTTACATTCTGAAATAGATTTTACTATCTTAAACAGTTAGTTAAATATCGAGTTTCTCATCACCTGGTAAGCAGGTATCGTGCAATTTTCCAATTCAGCTTTAAGAAAATTTACCACTTACGTTGATTTCGCGCACATGACACTATCTTCGCCAAAACTAGTCGACAATTATCAATATAATATTTATATTCCTTACAGTCATTTCACACGTATATAAAATATATATACACATTAGGACATAGTTATATGTCATTCGAATCGTTCGAAAATCGACGCTAATCTAAGTAAAGGTGTAACAACGTTTAAGAAACACAGACATTATATATACTAATCGCAATCTTATATCACTGGCAAATTTCAGCGAGATCCATTCAGTCGTTCTGCTATGATTGAATGAATAACAAACATTCATTCATCCAGATTCATTCATCAAGATCATTGAGATACTTTTACAAAACATTTCTAAAAATAAGCTGTTTACCAAATCAATAATTTCAATGGCGTAAAAGTCCACAGAGCTCATCTAAAAAAAGATAGAGGGGTCTATCTATTATCCATCTCTCTCGTTGCCTATATTGCAAGATTGAGGCTCTTGTTCACTCTATGTTTATACCTCTAAGTTTATAACTAAATCTTTATCTAAGTTTGTCACTATTTGAATAAGTACTGGACTTTAGATACGACACAAGAGATTACTATAATATAAATAAGAGCATTTTTACAACAACGCTACATATAGGTATATTAAACTTTTTTTCTGTAACTTAGATTTAAAGAATGACATCAGTTTCAATTCTTGACTCACAATAAATTATTCTCTTTCTCTAATTTAGAATTACCAAAAACATAAAGATGTCGGGGGACATTGTGTTTAGAATTACCTTGTATTAATTACATTGTGACAGGACCGAAGATATTGGCACAAATTTTTGAATTAGTAAACTTACTCAGCTCACGTGAAAACTGTAAAAGTTTCTTATAATCATATGTTTTATGAGCCGAACTCATATTAAAATTAACGTATACGTAATAGTACCCTTTTTACATGGAATATCCTAACAATAACTTTCCCTCTGAGGAAACCTTAATATACATAGATTTAATGTACGTACATTTGAATTTGTTTATGTACGGAAAGAAAATACAAAACAGCCAACACTTGGGCGTTATGACAGTAGTGAATAGCCTTAACTGTGACTTGCATTTACTAAGAGTTATCATGACCTTATACCGATGACGATAGCTTCATTACAATAGAATAAACATAACATCTAAAATACAACTGTATTTTGCTATTAATGGCATTTTCAAATCTTATACAATAATAAGTAATTTGCATTACAAATATCATGTCTTTTTATCAATTGGCATCCCATCTAGATCTACTTCTGTGCTAGGAATCAAAGGGGGCTTAAATCCTCCGTATTCGATCCTCAGATTACTCATTTTTGGCTCACGGTCTGTCCTTCTCATTTTAACTTCCACAACATAATTCTTATTGTTCTGCCACCAATCGTCTTGATTCGGAATTGGAACAGGTCCATAGTATTGACTGGCACTTTTTACATTCGTAAGATGATTCAGGTAATTACCAAGGCTATTGAGTCTCTTTTCCTCATCAGGTTGGACTTCTGAAGTATTATTTATATACTGATACGATGATGCATATTGGTTCCCCCATCGAGTGGATTGAATAGGTTCTTTCTGTTCTTTCGCTTTCAGCTGTTGAAAATATTCAGTAAGATATAACTGTTTCTGGTTAGGAGCGTTCTTTGACTTATCTACTTTGTATGGTTCATATTGATGGTTGTTTCTTGATTCTGAATGTGTCTCGGAATGACTGTACACATATGGAACCGGTATGTGTATCGGCCTGTCTATGAATTTCTCAACAGGGTAAGGTTTATCTACATACTTAGTCACGATAAAGGGCTTTTCGACAATTTTCTCGACGATTTTCTCAACTGGGTAAGGAACTTTAACAGGTTTCTCCACAATTTTTTCTACTTGGACAGGATAAGGTATTTTCTTCTCCACGATTCTGTCGACTGGGTAAGGCTGGGGCACATGCACTGGAACAGCTATTGGTTGAGGTACTGGTACTTGGATGTGTATCGGCCTATCCACATACTTGGTCACTGTCACAGGTTTTTCCACAATTCTTTCTACAGGTATCGGTATTCTTTTTTCAACTGGATACGGCACTGGCACTCTAGTTTCATAATGCACTGGATAAGGAACTCTCTTTTCAACGGCATAAGGCACCGGAACTTCTTTATGAATAATTTTTTCTACAGGTTTTTCAACTTGAATAGGAACAGGTCTATCCACAGGCACTGGATACAAAATTTTATGTTCAACTGGGTACGGTATTTGTATAGGAATTCCAACTGGAGTTGGTACGGGCACTGGGTGTATAACCTCTTTTTCTACTAGCTTTTCAACAGGATAAGGTATGTGCACGGGCCGGTCAACATACACATTCTGTTGTACAGGATAAGGTACTTTGACTTCTACAGGATATGGACGCGGTATTTCGACTGGGTAGGGTTTATTAACGTATTTAGTGATCTCGACAGGTTTTTCAACAATTTTTTCAACTGGTACTTCCACAGGATAAGGCCTGTCTACTGGTACCTGAACTTGAATATGTTGAGGGTATGGAACCTTCTTTTCAATAACTCTATCAACGAATTTAGTTACAGGGACTTCTTTTTCTATAACGATGGGTTGAATGATCTGTTTATTGTCATTTTCATAAGACTCATAGTACTGGACATGTTCGCTTCTTTGTGTTTTGCTGTCTTCATTGGGGCTTACACGCACCTCCGTGTGCATATTTTCACTAGCTTCTGTATTGTCAGAATCGTTATCCTCCTCATTTTTGCTATTCTCATGTTTCGCTGTCTCATACTGATAGAGAAATTTGTCCATATTATCCATGATTTTCTTTGTGTTCAAGGCATCCATGTATTTATTGTATAGTGATTTTACAGCATCGAAGGGACCTTTGTTATTGCTGCGACCTTCATCAAAATCTAAATACTCGTGAACTTCTACGTCATTTATATGAGTAATTTCAACAGGTATCGATTTTTGTACTTCTACAACAGTTTTGCCTTTAGACGGAGAATTTACTGTATCAGAAATTAACTCACTATCGGAAGCTTCAGGGTCTTCTACTCTGTTAAAGATTTCTGTATTATTAGCATTGATTAATCTTAACGCTACTGTAATCGGTGCTAAATAATTTTGATTAATCGGTCTTGGTGTAACGTTTATGATTTTGCTGTCATGGATATTTTGATATACTTCTTCTGATGTGTCTTTAACGCCTACAATTTGATACCCGTTTACCATATAAGGGACCATTGTAGAGACGATGTTATCTACAATTTGTTCTTTGAAGTTGGTATAAGAATTCTCAGATACGACAATGGGTGTTGCAAAATTATATTTATTTGAATCTGATTGTAGTATTTTATGCCCATTTTGATTGTTTTGTAAATGCTCTATATTACTTCCAACAATGTTTCCTATCTTTGCTTTTACAGTGATATGATTCCTGGTGTCGTGCCCGTGTAAATTATTACTATTGTTAAGGCGTCTTGCCCCTGTCGCTTCAGATTCTTCGAGGATATATTTTTCAGCAGCATCATTGATAAATAATAAATCTTCATTTGATATAAGATCCTGAGTAGAAGCAACCAATTTATCGATTCCTTCTAACGTTGTATTTTCGTAGGTTGGTGTTCCAACTGTTGTATAGTAAAATCTTTCGTTGCGAGCGTTAGGTCCCGGTGCTTCAACTCTAAACTGAATTGCACCTTTGTAAGAGTGTGATTGGGGATAACTGGTAGCAAAGTTATTGACATCCTGAAAACTGTAAGATTCAGCGAATAGTGCCTTAGATTTATTCAGATCGTTTTGTAGATCTTTCGAAATACTTTCTTTATTTATAGAGCAATTATGATTTTTATAAATTTGGATGGGTGAGCGGTATTCATTAAGAGCTTCATTTTGAGGATGTTTTGAATGTTCTAGTGACGGTGTATTATATACTCCAGTGCTGTAGACAGGGGTCGTTTGCACTGTGCCAGGGATTTGAAGCACTTGTTCAGGTTGAACAGATTGTGTGTAAGGCTTGTACTGCTGTTGCAGAAGATAGGGATCGATAGGAGGCGGCGGTTGGATATGCGTCCTGTTCAATTGCGGTCGTCCGTTGACATTTCCGTTCTGAAACGAAAAAAATACTTTGTGTGTAGATACAAAATACGGTTACCCAATTTTCTTAAATATATATGGCAAATCTGATGAATAAAAAAAATTGGAACAGTTTAATCGTAGTTCTACCGCAGTTTTTACTTATTTATGAGTGTCAAAGGGTCACTGAGAGAAGGAGAACTTCAGTAAAAATTTATGCTGAGGTGCTGAGGAGCTATATGCTTATTTGCCCAAAAGATAAGATAAGATTTACTTTTGACGCGATTGCGCGCGGAGGGTTATTTTTTCGTGTGTTTGGATGTATTTTTGAATGGTTCTTTGGCACGCTTTGTAGTCTAAATGGCTTGAAAGATTTTAGCCTGGACTTAAAATTATAAAAATTAAAACGCCAGTTTGTAAATTTTATGCAATTGTTTTTTTTTAAATATTTTTCTTGTTACTTACTAGTTGGTGTTTTGTCTCTTGTAACTTGTGCCCGTGTGCCGAGCTGGATGCCTGGAGCATGTCATTGTTGGTGCCTTGATACGTGTTGCCTGCTGAGTAATTAACTTGTTGCACAGACTGGAAACATATAACAAAGTTAACAATTAGAAAAAAATAAAAACGTTTGCCCGTTCCTTCGCCTGCGTGGAAGTCGGTCAACAGCACAGAATAATATATTCTTTATTCTGTGGTCAACAGCATTCATCTGAATTTCTATTTATACGAGTATATGAAAAACAGTAAAATACAGTCATGTTTTAGAGGTTATATAAGTATATGTCTCGAATTGTATGATTTGTTGTGTTTTGAGGGTGCTAACAATAGCATTCATTCTCTTTGTTTTCATTATTCTTTATGTTTAGGAGTGTGCGTGTGGGTAAATGAAAAGAAAGAAAATAAGATGCCGTATGTAACTTACTCTTACCGGAGAGCAAAATTTCCCACTTTTCCTGGGGGGTTACTCTAAGGACGGCAGGTGTCCATGGGCGGTAGTCACTTAGCATCAGGTGGCCCGTTTGCTAGTTTACCCTCCTATACTATAAAAATACATCCATCTAGTCTAGGACAATGTTCTTGAAGGTGAGAATGAATATGCACCAAAGAGGGCATGGTAGGGTTGTCATACGTTTAAGTAATTTTGTAGTCGGTTGATATACCTAGTGGCGTGTCGAGGATCACCACTGCGATGGCCGGACCATGGACACTGCGCTCCACACGCTTGCAGAATGCCCAAGGTGGGTGGAGCAGAGGCGTGACCTAATGGCGGCGATCGAAGTGGGAAGTGGAAACTCCGCCGTCTTCTTCTGCAACCTCCGTCCTGCAGGCTTGAGGGTGACAGGTGAGGTCATCTGTCACCCTAGGAGAAGCAGGCTGGGCGCGCGCCCTTTCGGGGGCAGGAACTGAACATCGGGCCTCCCCCGAGGTTCATCGGGGTAAAAGGGATTTCCTTTCTAGGGTCTACTCCCCGGCTACTGGTACCTGAGACGGCGTGCGGTTTTTGGTCGGTTCGAGTCCGACATAACCACACACTTTCCGCACAGAAAAAAAACAGTGGTACTGCGGGAGTGCCGACAGAAGTTTGAAGAAATGAAATTTTTAAAATTTTTGCTTATAACAGGAAACTTTTTTGTTGCCCGATTCAAAAAGTTCCGATATGAACACAATATATGTTTATATTATATATAGTTATGTTATCAATGTATTTTAACTCAAACTCAACTCTTGTGTAAAAGGGGTCGATATATGTAGAGGTGTCGGTAACGGCAAAGGTGTCGCGAGTTTAATGGCTTTTCCCATCTCAAAAAATAAATTTTATTGTTTGTTGTTTAAAAATGACCAACGCGCCTAAAAAAGTTTTCACTTCTAAAACGCGGCTAACGAGTAGAATAGTAAGTTTCGGCCGATTACCGCCGCCCATGGACACATGGAATTCGAGAGGCAGAATTGCGTTACCGCCTTAGAGTACCCCTCCCTTAGAATCGAGCAGGGTTGGGCTACGTTAACTCACTCAGTGAAAATTAACAAAAAAAATACTTAACACTACACTTAACAAATGGGTACATGTCTTCGTTCTATTCAAACCATTGCAATCTCGGTCGCTTTCCCCCATCCGAGATTTGCGATATCCCTTACCATGAAACTCCCCCTACTCCGTTGTCTCACCCTAATTAACTATTTTTTTTTTTTTTTTTTTATTTATTCTTTCAAAGTGTAAACATATTAATGAGAAAATTTTAACATACATAGCATTTCCTAAGCCACGAAGGTTTATAATGAATGCTAAGGGTTAGTCTCGATCGTTACAAAAAATTTCAAAAAAAAAAAAAAAAAATAACAAAAGAATAATAATAAGAAAGTTCTGAATACAGTATAAAACAATATTTCATAAATAAAAAGCGAACAGATAAAACAAGCAATAAAATATATATGATTAATTTTGATTAAAAAGTAATGGCCGTACTTTAGATTTAAAGTTCACCGGCGTCAGAATTTCTCTCAATTCGGAGGGTAGTTTGTTAATAAATCTGGGAACTAAGTATTCGGTTGTTCTTTCACCGTATATATTATTTGTTGTCGCTCGACTGATTTCGCACACAAGATTCCGAGCAGCAGCCCTTGTATATACATCGTGTGTTTTTTTTTTGTTAAATGTATTGGTGAAAAAGTTTTCTTTTAGTAAATTATATTTAAATTGTGTTTGTATCGGGAGGATTTGACAGTGTTTAAAAAGCCCACTGTCATCGTTATAAAATTGCTTTTTAATTTTTGCTGGAACGATAGTTCGCAAAATTTTTCGTTGTAAGTTATATATTTTTTTTAAATATGTGTTAAAGGTACGACCATAACTACTCAATCCATACTGGATATAGGATTCAGCCATTGAGTTGTATAACATTCTTTTGACTTTAAAGGGTATTCGGTCTTTGAGCAGCGTGATGTTTGCAAGGAACAGTCTGAGTTTATCACATACGTGTTCTATATGGTTACTCCAATTTAGCTTGCTGTCAATAACTAACCCCACATAAGTATGTGTCGTTACGGTTTGTATGGTGGTGCAGTTACATGGATCGTTGAATGACGTGTGTAAGCAGCTGTGGTTGTGTGCACGTATGTCTTTGAATTGAGATTTATCCAGGTATGGAGATTTAATATGCAGTAGTTTGGTTTTATCAGCATTCAACACCAGACCGGCATCATGGCACCACTTTAGAACTGTATCGAAGTCGGACTGTAAGAGTTCTGCGGCCTTTTGCGCATTCTGGTGTGCTGCAACGAGACAGGTATCATCGGCAAATTGATAACAAGAACTCCATTTCACACACTTGGCTAGGTCGTTTACGTATGTCAAAAAGTGAAGAGGCCCCAATACAGATCCTTGCGCCGTGCCTTCTGTAACTGTAATATGGTCGCTGTACGTGTTATCTACCTTCACGGTGAACTTGCGGCTGAGGAGATAATTTTCACACCAAGAAAGTAGTGGACCGCGGATACCACATTTGTCTAATTTACTGGACGACGACTGGATGGCGTAGTGGTTTGTGTAACGGACTGCTATTCCAAAGGTCGCGGGTTCGATTCCCGCTCAAGTCAAACATTTGTGTGCATGAACATTTGATGTTTGATTTGGTCTGGGTGTTTCTATGTCTAATATGTATGTATTTACAAAAAAAAAGTATATATGTATTTATATCAGTTGTCTAGTACCCATAGTACAAGCTCTGCTTAGTTTGGGACTAGATGGCGTTGTGTGAATGTGGTAGAATATATTATATTATATATATTATCTTTCTTTGTTCCAATTTGAAAACAATCCCATTCACAAAAAGAGTGGGCGTCAGACAGGCGGCCGGGGATATTAAACCAAATTGTCACTGCGATACTAAAAAATGATTGATGACCCACCTACTTCCAAGGCGAAAAGATAGGTATTATAATGATAAACTAAAATTCAAAACATCTTTATTTTATAAAAATAAAAATGTTTAAAATCGTCTCTTGGGTAGACTCTAAAGTCATAGATCAACACACACAATATCTCTGTTTTGTTAAATATTTAGCAAAATAAATATACACGTATCGAAAATTTACTATATGCCAATGCCGATCTACCGCTCGTTTCCAAGGGGTGGAGCCTTCATAACCCTAGACATCTCCCACACGGCCGCCTGATGCCATACTAGGCAGAACCTGTCTCATGGTAACCAGACTGCTGATAAACATACTTCAATATTTCTAAATAGATACATAATATAGATAAATTACACAGAGATACAGAACAAATAATCGTGCTCATCACACAATTATTTGTTCTGTTGGGGAATCGAACGGAACTGGCTTAACAGTCCGGATCCCTAACCACTAAATCAACAGGCCCGAATTACAGATTTGTCACTTACTTTTGACATACTAACACCATTACGTTCTCTAATGTGAATAAAAACGAGGGTGTCGGTATTTTGGTCCAAATCATACTCAACTTAGTCTATTTTCCGCATTGTTACCAGTTCTTGCCAAATAATCGTTTAAAACATCATTAGTTGCGCATTTCAGTTGCTTTAAACGTGCATTACGAAATTGAATATGTACCTAAGCATTGTTAACTCTGTGGTGACGGGCTTTGGTTATCTAGAGCTGAGTTGGTACAAAGACTGGGCCTCAATTCTGCTATTTTATGTTCACGTCAAGGCACTGTCATACCACTGACACGCTATTGAGATGCCATCGAGTGGTCATTGGCATCGGTATAAATATCGGTAGTCTACACTAACTCAATGTCTTTATAGTGACGATGGAATGGCAGTGGCTCATCAGTGGTGATATCAAAAAGATTGCCATATTTGGCAAAATAAATAAATCATTTCCTCAAAAGAACGTAATATATTTTCAAATTATAAGGAAATGATTTATTTATTTAACATAAAATAGCAGAATTGAGGCCCAGGAGTCTTCGATTTAAATACCTCATAATTTTCTCTCTTGTTTGTCAATCAATTTTCCTTGTAGCTAGCCTTGGTGGTATTAAAAATGTTTTGAATGAATTGCTATCAAAATTTCAACATCTGGTAATAATTTATTTGAAATAATTTTCTTTGAATAGTTTTAAGTAAAACAATCTGTGTTATCTTTGAGACTACAAATTATGATAGTTGTATTGTTTATTTATAACCGAAAATAAACAATGTGCGAGAAATTTTTGTTTTAGTAAGAGTTTTGCAATATTCATCTTAATTTATAATACAATTAAGAATAATACAGTGGGCTTTTTCTATGTATAGTATGTATATATTAAAAAAAAAAAGTATACTTATAAGTATTCTATCAGTCAATCTAGCTTTCATAGTACAAATTCTGCTTAGTTTGAAACTAGATGGCGTCGTGTGTTAGATGACCGAAAATATTTTTATTATTATAATATAATCCTAACCCTATGTCGTTTATTAAACAAATCTTTTTGTAACTGTAGTGCTTTAGGTTGGTTACTTTTTATTTTCAGAAGAATAAACCTTTTAATATATTATTTTTAACCTAAAACAGAGATTATGAGTCTTTTACCTGTGGTTGTTTAACATAATAATGCCCTAGAACTCTCTCAGGAACTTTTGTGGGCGACATGTGCCAGCCCCAACTGAAACTAGCGCCATCCTGTGATATTTTCTGCAATAAAAGTAGAATAACATTAGATATAAAAATAATAATTAAATGATTGGTGCATCACGTCACAAGAGGTTACCTAAATCGTAATTCCTCCTGCCTTAATTATAAGGGGAGGGACTCACAGGTGGCAACGCACGTGTGAGTCTATGGACGGAGGTAGGCCTTGAACAATAGTACTCTGTGGGTAGGCCCTTATTCTCCGGTAACCCGGCTGCTCATTTGCTCCATTTTCATTCCTCACTACGTGAAGATGTATTGTTATACACACTAAACTACATATATTTACATAAAAAGACAATAAGTTAATAATCGCTGCCAAGAAACGAACAATCGATAGTTTTAAAAGTGCAGTTAATCCATACTTCCATATGGATATCCAAGTAATATTATAAATGCGAAAATGTGTCTATCTGTCTGTCTGTTACCTCTTCACGCTTAAACCGCTGAACCGATTTTAATGAAATATGGTATATGGTATAGAGATAGTTTGAGTCCCGGGAAAGGACATAGTTTTTATCCCAGAAATCATCCTTTAAGGAGGTGAAAATAGGGGTGGTAGTTTGTATGGGGAATAAATAGACGATATAATAACCTCTGAACCAATTTAGATTAAATTTGGTATGGAGATAGTTTTATTCTTGAGGAAGGACAAAGGCTACTTTTTAGCGTGATACCCGACACGCGGACGGAGCCGTGGGCAAAAGTATATATTACATATGTTATTAACTTAGCTTGGTATCCGCTTACCAAAAATTAAGTCTATTATTTATTATCTTAGATGGGTCAATGGGTCTGTACACAACGAAAAACGAGTAGTTTTCGTTGATAAATTTTTAAAACTAATTAAGTTTCGTAAAACATTGAAGTACGAACTCACAGACAAAAATTATTGGTTTAAATTCAGTTTTAAGTAAAGCCACGGGTAACTAGCGTTAAACACACGAGTGACATCTAATTTCAAGCCTTGGCCCCGTTTAGTAATAACACAAATACTAACAACATACTATTTTCAATAAATGCGCTCATCATTTCTGCTTTTATATCAATTAACATCCAACAGTAAAATTTAAACAATATAACATCTAAAACTTAGCATTTAAAATATATAGCTCAGTCAGCATGACTTAAGGGTAGCTCACTGTTACTTTTTAAACGAAAGAAAGCCAGGTTTTCTATTGTTAAGATCACGAACCTAGTAATTACTATTAAATCTCGTGATTCGAGGTATTACAGCGTGAGCTGCAATCTTGCAATTGTATGCTACTGAACACTGCATAATAAATATGGTACTTTGAAAAACAACGAAGCGTAATGAATCCTTATTTCACATATGCAAATAGAATATAGCAGTTGGTCCATTCGTTTCTTTCCTCTTTACATTGCACTGCACGAATGGGTTTAATCGGTCACCTGGCCGCTTCCTACTGCGGGTTCGATCCCCACATGGGACAACACTTTGTATGATCCACAAATTGTTGTTCTGAGTCTGTTGTGTGGGTGTCCGTTTCATGTATGTTTGTAAAGTCCCCCGCAATACAGGATTTACTTCTAGTACGAGAGTTGTCTGTTTAAAAAAGAAAAGTTTGAGAACGTAACTGGGCCAGAGTTAGAGACATAGTTATAAGTACTTAAAGATGTCTAGATTATAGCGTGGTCGTACTATTTATTATCATACCTATATATCTATACTAGCTGACCCGCGCAAGTGTGTCTGCTTCTCTCTTAAATTTTCCCATAAATTTTTCAAATCGAACCTGTAGTTCCTTAGATTACATTTTTTTTTTCGTGCGGAAATCCTCTCATGCATGTCGGACTCGAACCGACTAAAACCGCACGCCGTCTCGGGTACTAATAGCCGGGGAACCAGGTATACCCTAGAAAGGAAGTTCCTTAGATTACCCTGAACATACAAACTCACAAACTTTACCTCTTTATAATAAAGAGTATTTACTGTAAGTTTGAAAACGCTACTACCAAAAAAAAACGAATTTTTATATAAATATTCCCTTAGGAATGGAATTTTTAAAAAGCCTTTCTTAGTGCACACCTATGTCACCTAAGGAACATTTGTGCAACATTTCATGCTTCTAGACCCAGCGGTTTCTGGCACTTACCGTTGTCACAGACTTAGACAAAGCCCGGCGTAGTCCATAGTCGAAACCTTTAAATGTGTTTGTTGTTCTTCTTACTTTCATTATCATCATCATCATCAACAGCCTTAAAAATGCTCGGCCGCTTTAATTACAAAAAGTTTAAAATAAGCTTTTAATTACTTTGTACATTGTCAAACTAGGAAACGATCGCTAAAAGAAAAAAATACAAAGTTTAAAAAACTATTTTTTTTTTAAATTAGTGTATTGTCATCGGTCCTCGATATATCTACAAAGTTAGAACGAATTCTGACCGTTTAAAGTCAGTCAAAATCACGCCCAAAGGAGTCGCTTTCAAACATACAAACAAACATACAAGTGAAGCTAATATAAAGCGTGTAAAAATACTTCTAAGTTGTAACACCCACACACTTATGCAACAACTGCGGAAGAAATAGTCTATCTAAGGCTAGTGCCATTGGCCATATATGCGACTAGAACTCACTAAACACTAGTAAAAGTGATCAGGATAAAACTGCGAAGAAAGTGGTTTCAGTTTTTATGCAATTATTCCTATTGGGTGACTTTTACTTGAACACTGAAGGAATACCGGTTAGGTACACCCAATAGTGATTGTACTATCCACTTTACTATTATTGTAAAAGCGAAAGTTTCTATATTTATTGGAACGAAGTTCCTTATCGCGCGTTGTACGTACTGAGCGGATGGGAGCGAGTCCGAAAAATATGTAACAAGACTTTTTATGACACTTCTTGTCCCAGATCATTCAGTGTTTAATTAATCAATATTTATTTCATACATAATATTTCACTGACATATATTTACTTTTAAAATATACACAATAAATATACACATATAATAAAATATCCGTGTAGTGACGGATTAAGAATACGGGAATGTCACTAACCCAATTCATCCCGTAGGTGTCGTAAGAGGCGACTAAGAGCGCAAAACAACGCAGGACACCAGCACTGCAAAAAGAAGGAAAACTTGATACAAACCCTATACCAACCCGTCTGGCCAGCGTGGTATAGTTGGCCAAAACCTCCTTTCTGAGGAGAGGCCTATGTCCAGCAGAGGACGACTATTAAAGGCTGTTGATGTGATGTGATGTGAATAAAATATATCGTAAATTTATGAATTTAGATGGAATATAGTTTTTTTTATCCCGAAAATTTGATGGACAAACTCGAAGCCGAGGCCAAAAGGTGGTACCTACTTATTACGTTATTTCCTGATCTATCAGTCAGATTAAAATGGCATTTTGGTATTGGGTTGAAGAGTATTCATTGAGAAAGATCATGCTGTCTACCATCACGGTGACCGGTGACTTCTAAAGAATTGTTAAACACCAGTATCCTGTGCGGCCGTTACTCCGGTCCAGCCGCCCTATTTTTACACATTTCTGAAATTATTAACACACTAGCTGGTACCCGCGACCTCGTTCGCCTGGAATTTGAAAAGCACTACCTTAGTGATGGTACGCGTTCTTAAGGCCTCGGGTTTGATTCCCGCGCCAGTCAAAATTTTATAGGGTTTTTCTGAGAGGAAAAGTTATATAGTACAATATTATCAAAATCAGTCCAGCCATTTTAAAGATTACCAAGAGCAAATAGACAGAAAGACAAAAATATTTAAACTAGACATCGTGCTAGTAAAAGCTTGTGTGAGCTTAAAAAACCTATTATTTTGACATTACAAACAGACACTTCAATTTTATTTATTTGTATAGATAGGTACTTTTTACCATTTTAGCTATGTACATTTCTTTTACATATAAATTTTAAATATTTAAAATTTCATTCTTCTGAACGATAAAATTTGTTTAAAAACTAGGTTATAAGATTTCTCGTCATGTTTTGATATAATGTAAGTACCTAACTGTTGATAAATAGCTCGTAGATTTAATTTCGATATTTTCACTTCTTATTACATCACTAGAAGGAAACGTTTTAATGTCTCAGTAAGCACTTTAAAGCACCTCAAAAGTTTTGCAAATAAAAAATACAAAATTGAATGTTACATCGTTATAACTTTACATAACACGTCAAGTCTGACTGGACGTGAGTGGTGAGTCACGACGAGTATGGCGACAGGCTCTCGTATTTGAAGTGTTCGTAATTTGCAATACTTTTATAGATAATGGTATTAACAAGCTGATGTAATATAAACGAATAAATATAAAAATGTTAGGTTGGTTTGTGTATTAGTACCCGAGACGGCGTGCGGTTTTAGTCGGTTCGAGTCCGACATGCCACCGACAGGTGGTATCCGAGGGGATTTCCGCACGGAAAAAAAACAAAAAGGTTGGTTTGTGTACGCTTCAAAAACTTGAAAATTCTGCACTTGAGCAAGTTTCTTCGAAATTGAGCTCAAATTTCCTGCCAAAAAGCCTGCTTTCAAATTTGAACTCAATCAGCTCAAATTTGGCACGAAATAGGTTTAATCCGCTTCAAAGATTGTGTTTATTTATTTTTGTGGCAGTTTTTAACCCCCGACGGAAAACGAGGGGTGTGCATATTATGTTTGAAATACTTAATGTTTATCTACAGAAGAACCATAAAAAGATAAAAATAAATTACTATCTGGTATATTTTAAATAGTCCGGAGATGATCTTCCCTGGTGCCAGATTTACAGCATCCTTCAAGTACTTAACACGAGTCAGCTGTCAACCATATTGAAGGGAGCCGAATGATACGACACGAGCTATTATCAGCAGGACTTTTAGTATACTTCCAGCTGCTAAAAAGTAAACTGCCAGCTGCCAGGTCATAACTTAATAACACTTTAAGACTAAATATGTCTATAGTGTAATCACACATTAACATAAAATTATACTGTTGGTCTACTGATCCTGACTACTAAGCCAGGTGTCACAGGTTCGATTCCCACCCAGGACAATTAGATGAGCATTAGATGAGCACGAACATTTCTTCTATGTCTGGGTGTAATTTATCCATAATATGTGTAAAGACTTATTTAAGCATATTTATCATTAGTCTGGTTACCATAGAACAGGGTCTACCTAGTTTGGGATCAGACTACCGTGTGTGAGTTGCGTGAAATAATTATTGGTGGGAGTAGGACGTATGGTCAGTGAAGCCTTGAGAGAATCAGACACTATTCGGTATGGACTTCAAAAGTTTCAAAGCCAACTTTTTAAAGAGACAATTCTGCAAGGAAATCATTTCAATAACGTTATGTCAAAACCATCATTCAAACTTATTCTTCGGAAATGTTTACGAGCCACAGTAAATCATTCATTCATCGTCATTTATCACTTTTAATTGCCAACTCAGTGTGTACGTGGAAGTTAGAGTTACGCTTTTGATTTCTAGTTACTTGTTTTTATATTGTAATGTTAGTTTTTTTTTCACATTCACACAACGCCGTCTAGTTCCTAACTAAGCAGAGCTTGTAGGTACTATGTGTACTAGACAACTGATATAAATACATAATTTATACTTTTTTTTTGTAAATACATACATATTATACATAGAAACACCCAGACCAAATCAATCATCAATCGAACTCGCGACCTTTGAAATAGCAGTCCGTTACACAAACCACTACGCCATTCGTCCGTTTGTTTGTTAGCAATTGAAAGAGTGGGGAAGCGTGACTCGTAATATATTAACAAAAGAAGAAAATGAAACGACAATACCAAACTAGGCGATAGGTCGTGTCAATGTATAATTATTCATTTCTTTCGAAAAAATTTAGTCTGTCTGATGTTCCACAGCATAAACTTCGCCAAAGTGCATCCAATTCCATTCAGCAATTCTGGCGTAATTGAGTAACAAACAATAATACAAACTAAGTCATATATAGTAATGGTAACATGTAATATAAAGAAGACAAGTTCATTAAAAACATAAAAGAAAAATGAAATTTATTAAGACATCTGTTCCAAATTTTTGGTATTTATTTTACAGACTATGAACTTTTGCATTAATTATTATTTGAATTAAATGAAATGAAACATTTATATAAATAGCTTTCGACATCCCACGTCCGGCTGTCTGATCTCAAATTAGGCAGAGCCTGTACTGTAGTAACCAGACTGCTAAACCCTAAACACACTTCTAAATGCATGCATTTTATAGATAAATTACGCCGAAATACAGAAACCGATTCCAGAAGAAGGAATGGATTCTACAACCTCTAACTAAAACAAATTAAAAAAATTATATTTAAAAAATATACTTTCAAGTTTTACACTACCCAAAAAATACTATAAATAAATATAATTTAACATTTTATGAAAAATAAACCAGCAATTTAATTATCTTATTACATTACTAAAATCAACAATGATCCTTAATATCATTTATAATCGGTACTTAAGCTTCAAACAGGAAGTGAACTGAAAGCCTTTCACTGCCGGAACTCGTTACTTAACTAAACCACATATGTTATGTAAGTAAGGGCGTACTTCCACTATAGAAGAAAAAAAAGTAACTTGTAAGTACACTTAAGAATGTTATCTTTAACGTGGCAGACCTTTTCTGAAAATCGAGAGTGAGAAATGAAACTGCCTGACGCTTAGGTGTCCTAATTACATGTATTTAGACGTGTGTTTTGCCACCTTAGTTTGTGATTCTTATCTTAAATAATAATGCGGCTTTCAGTATTATTATATTTTTACCTACAAGCTATAGCTATTATAAAGGGTTTATCCTGTAATCCATTTTTAATTGGCTGCACAGATGGCGTATAGTTTAAGCTTAAGCGGTCACCTCACCGGGTTCGATGCCATCATTAGACAACACTTTGTGTGATCTACAAATTGTTGTTCTAAGACTAGGTGTTCTTTGTGTCCGTTTCATAATTGTTTTTTATCGAGTCGAGGAGCGCCAACTGCTGCTGTCAACCACTTTCCTAAAGTCGCCGGGCCAACGTGCCGCAGGGCGTCTTACACCACGTTTGCCTAATCGCTGTCTCCACTCTATCGCATGTCGGCTCCAGTATTACTACATTACATACAGTTATATAATTCAATTATTTACGAAATATAACACACATGAATACACAATTCGCAACACACTTGTGTCCATTGTATACGCAACAATAAAACTGCAAAATATACACAAAATACTTATTTTATGAGTGATTCGTCCATTCTTATTCAATGAGAACTTGTTTTATTGTGAGATAGTGAACAATACTGTATCAGGTAACCGTTTCCTGGCTTAAGAGAAAGTTTTATATACGAATAAATAGATTTGCAGCTAGCATTATGATTCCATATCTGTATATTTATAGCGTAGGCGTTTCAATTGAATGCAAAACACTGTAAGGCCTCAGAAATTCTTATCTATTCGAGCAATGTATTTCCCACAATGCGAGGAATAAGGTTAGAATCATTTATTTCTGAAAGATTACAGATAAATAAACATAATTATAAATAGTAGGTATATTTACACATAGTTCAGACATTGGCGTATCTAGGGATACTTTTAAGGGTGGCCTGCCTGCTCTGGAGGATCTGGACCATGTGATTTCAGTGTCTCACCGAATCGATGCCGCGCCTTATCAAGCCTTATCCTGGGGAAGCTCCAAACTTCCCGAAATAACTTTACACTTGTTTCAAACTTTATTTGTAGTGACATACAAGTACACAATAAGTGGTAATACCATTTTGAATTATTATATTACCATTTTGAATTATTATATTATTTTATAATATTTTTTTAATCAAGTTATAATCATCAAGTTTTTAATCAATCAATCTCTAGATCATTGAATAAATAATAATAATAATGTTTCGGACATCTGACACACAACGCCATCTAATTTTAAAATAAACAGAGCTTGTACTATGAAAGCTAGATTGACTGATAGAATACCTTAATACTTTTTTTTTTGTAAATACATACATATTATACATAGACAACATTCTAACTCCGAAACAAATATTTGCAGATCATACAAAAATTTGGTACGCACCGGGAATCGGACTCGTGACCTCAGAATTTTGAATTGTCAATTTAGTAACGGTTTCATGGTTTCGAAATTAATTTGGTGAATCCATCATTATTATTTTCTTTACTTTTGCAATTAGAACCTACTTAGGGGAACACAGATTTTTACACGCTTGATATTAGCTTCACTTGTTTGTATGTTTGTAACCGACTCCTTTGGGCGTGATTTTGACTGACTTTAAACGGTCAGAATTCGTTCAAACTTTGTTGATATATCGAGGACCGATGACAATACACTTGATTGACAACAGGCACCCAACGCTATATATACAATTTTTTTAACTACAGTGCAATTTTTTTTCGGGCATAAATAAATAATCCCCTCATGACCCTTTTCCCAAATTTATTTGGGGTCAGCGCAGTGATTTTTCTTCTTCCATTCTCCTCTATTACTGTCCTCTTTCACGCTGTCCATCCACCTTTTCTTTGGTCATCCTCTACTCAGTTTTTTGTATGTAAGTTGACATACCCCTCAACTTATATACTTCTCCACTACATTTTGCTCATCTCAGAATAGCCTGTTGCTTCTCAACTATTCATTCATTGGTGCTACTTTCAGGCTTACTCTAATGTTTCCTCATCTTGTCCATTCTAGCCACACCAGATATCTAAGATGGATATTCGTTCATTCGCATTTCATGTAGCTGAAATGCGAATGTGCAGGCAGTTTAAATTTCTACAGTAAAAAAATTACACCCAAAATGTTAACAAGGTAAAATTTCTTGTATTGTTTATACTTTTCTTACAAATAACTAACTAACACACAGATTATTACACACAGAGTGGCGTAAATTGCATAATGATGTATGTTTAACTTTGTTGGCGCTTTGTAAGTTTGTGGCATCTGAAGAGACGCAGTACGCTTAACGCTCGTTCAAATATCTTAACAATACTAACATTTTGATCAAGTACTGCCTCCAGAAAAAATTAAAATAGGTCATCATCATCATCATCAATAGGTTTAAATAGTCCACTACTGGATATAGGTATCTTTTTAGAAAGGAGGTTTTGGCCTAATATACTACGCTGGCCAGACGGTTTGGTATAGGGTTTGTTTCAAGTTTTCTTTTTTTTTGCAGCGCTATTGTCCTGCGCAGTTTGCTACCTTAGTCGGCTCTTACGACACCCACGGGATGAATAGAAGTGGTGACAGTCATTCGTCATACTGGGTGAATAGCGGTGGTGACTGTCACGGACATAAATAATAAGTGAGTGAAACTTACCGTGTTAGTATATTGCGAACATACAGTAGACACACTGAAGGCGAACCACAACCCCGTCCACTGAAATATAAAACAACCCAATAAAATTATTTATATTTAAAAAAAATAGTTTAGCAGTGCGCCGCGCCTATTATACACAACTTTTATTTAAAGGTTTGATTAATGTTGTTGGGCCTCCAATAATCTCAATCACTCTGCAAAATGCAACAATGGCTTAGGTTTTCTGTTAGGCTGTGGTATCATTAGTTGAGTCGAGGTTTTCCCCTCTACCCGCCACAACGACCAGCCGCGACGAGGTGACGTCCGCGTGTTCCGGACGTTGCCTATATGGAGAATGTACCCGAGGATGGTGCCCGCGCCATTGCAGGCAGGCTCTAGGAAGGGTCCGGACATCTTAATAGCAGCAGTTACCGGAACTTTACTATTAAAAGCCACTCACCGTGTCTTTTTAGTCGGTTCAAACCCCGGTGGGGTGACGGCCCGAGGCTTGGCGGGCTTTCCACACCATAAAAACAAAAAAAATACACTTGTCGAGCCGGCCGCTTGTATCATCGGCAGCCTTTAGTAGTCCACTGTTTTACATTGGCCTCTCCTTAGAAAGGAGGTTTTGGCCTACTAAAGGGCTTTCCAATAAGAGGTGTTATTTTAGTATTCAAAGAAAAATGCAATTTTTTAAGATAAATAATCGGCTATTTATTTTATAATAAAGAGGAAGGTATGCCGTTAATAATGGAAGATAACATCAGCCAAATGGCTAGCACGACCACGCTTACAGGACCATATCCTTTTAATGAAATTTTGCATAACCAAATCGCAAAGTGGCTTCCCTATGTCCTCGATAGCCTCACGAATTCCATCTTTGAGGTCTTGAATCGACGCTGGGCTGTTGGCGTAGACCTTATCTTTCACGTGGCCCCAAAGGAAGAAGTCGCAAGGTGTTAAATCACAAGATCTCGGTGGCCAATTGTGATCACCTCTTCGAGAGATAACACGGTCAGGAAACTTTTCCCGTAAAAGAGCAATGGTTTCGTTGCTTGTGCTGCACGGAGCGCCGTCTTGTTGAAAGTGAACGTTATCCAGATCAATACCATCCAACTCCGGCCATAAAAAATCATTAATCATATCTCGATTAATCCATTCACCGTAAGTGTTGATCCAACCTCATTTTCGAAAAAGTAAGGTCCAATGACCCCGCCGGACCATAAACCGCACCAAACAGTCACACGTTGAGGATGGAGAGGCTTCTCAATAATAACTCTTGGGTTTTCCGAGCCCCAGATGCGACAATTTTGCTTGTTGACGTAGCCTCTTAGGTGGAAATGGGCCTCATCAGTCAAGATGATTTTTCGATGGAATTCCGGCTCATTTTCATGCATTTCAAGTACCCTATCAGCAAAGACACGACGTTTTTGATGACCGGCCGGCTTGAGTTTTATAAGCCTTTATAAGCCTTTATAAGCCTTAAGACCCAAGTCTTTATGCAAATTACGGTGTAATGACGTTTGTGGAATGCCCAATTCCAAAGAACGACGAGGAATGGACAAACCTGCGTTTTCTTCAACACTTTGGGCTACAGCAGCAATATTCTCAGTTGTTCTTGAGCGACGTGCACGGGTTTTATTCTTCACATCACTAACTTGTCCCAACAGCTCGAATTTTTCCACCAATTTCTGTACTGCGGTCCGACAAGGTGCTTCACGACGACCAAAAAATGCTTTAGTTTTGCGAATTGTGACTGCAAGATTTTCACCATTTTTGTAGTGAATTTTAATAATTTCAATGCGTTGTTGAAGTGTGTATCGTTCCATTTTTAGTAATGGCGTAGTTTCTACTTGTCAAATGTCAAAAAATAAAAGCTTCAAAAGTGACAGCTACCGAAATACCGGATGATTCAAAATAACACCTCTTGTTGGAAAACCCTTTATACTAGCCAGACGCGTTAGTATAGGATTTGTGTCAAGTTTTCTTTCTCTTTTGTATGTTATACGATAATTTCGTTATTTGTCAATCGATTTCAATAATTCTTATATTTAATTTGAATGCAGTTCAAGGTTCGACCCATTTCCCAATAACAAAATCACTTCTAAGGGTGGTAAAATTAAGAACTTTTCAATCACAATTTACGACTTAGTAGTTTTATTTTATTTTGATATTGTCATCGGTTTAGATTAATGATTGACTGCACAACTGGCGTAGTGGTTTAAGCGGTCACCTCGCCGCTTACTACTGCGCTGAGTGTTTTGGGTTTGGTCCCCAAATTGGACAACACTTTGTGATCCACAAATTGTTATTCTGAGTCTAGGAGTTCTTAGTGTCCATTTCATGTGTTTGTAAGTCTCCCGTGACACAGGATTATATTCCTGGATCGGGCATTCTTTAAAAAAAAACAATGTTTTGCAACATCTTCGCACAGATTTGATCGTCATAATCAAAAATATTACTAAGACCTTAACAGGAGTACCAAGAATATGCCATAAGTGAAGTAAAGAACACTTACCATGATTCCTCAAATACAACTGAATCTAGTTCTTTGCTTCTTCTTTCTTGGAAATAATCTGGAACAATATGTTTCATGATTAAGAATGATACTTTTATACTTAGATACTATTTTATTACTCTCTTTGTTAGTGATCAGACGCCTGATGGTAAGTGACTACCATCGATCATGGACAGAAACGAAGCTCCGAACGAAATGAATGAATTCTGGTTCGTCCGTGGTATCACCCCGGTTGAGGAGCATCGTTTGTGTCCAATCATGGCTGTCGAATAGCAATCATGGTGATTTTTTACGGTTTGTACGGTTTAATTTATGCGGGTTGAAGAACATTTGGACATTGTCCCCAGACCTTTACTCTTTCAGTAGTAAAGTGTACTGAAAGCGATTCAGGGCGGGCTGGAAGCCTCTAGTAATTTTCCAGATGTAATAAAATGCACCAGGAACTTCCTTTCTAGGGTATACCTGGTTCCCCGGCTATTAGTACATTAGTACCCGAGACGGCGTGCGGTTTTAGTCGGTTTGTGTCCGACATGCCACCGATAGGTGGATTCCGAGGGGATTTCCGCACGGAAAAAGAAAAAAGATGTAATAAATAATAAAAATAAAATAAAACTTTATTTGTAAAAAACACAGCATACAACTTTTGTTGAAAGAAAAAAAAACAAATAATACAATTTAATATAATTAGGTAGTTATTATATTTTTGAGGCTTACAACTCTTGATCTAATGTACGTGTAATACAAGACGACGTGGTCATATGTATGACGTGGCGGTGACGTGTGATCACTATTATTTTTAGGTTATATTAAATAACAAAGAAAAGTGAAACATGTCCAATTATTTGACCTACCTATTGTGTGTAAACAAGTAAGCCTTTCAACTACATCAATAACTTATGTTTATGAGTGTTGTTCGCCGTGTCCCACAAAAAAAGGTGGACGCTCAGCATTTACTGTGATGGACGTGGTCCGTCCCAGTACTTACTGATTTTCAGTGCACACCCTAACTGTTGATTTGACGCCGACAGCCATATCTTCCATGTGCTGTGTCATGAGTGATCTATCTTTATAAATAAAAATGAATCGCCGAAATGCATGTACACGTATAACTTCCGAACAGCTGCAGCAAAATGGATATTTTTTTTTTTGTGTTCGTTGTTGTCACGACAAGGTTTTTATAAAAGAAATTAAAAAAACAGGTTTATTTAAAAATTTCATATTATGACAATTGAGTGAGTGAATAAGATAAGAAAGACTGTGAGAGATCTATACTAATATTATACAGATGTAAAGTTTGTGAGTTTGTATGTTGGGCGTAATCTCAGGAACTACGGGTTCGAATTGATAAATTATTTTAGTGTCGGATAGCCCTTTTAGTGAGAAAGGATATAGGCTATATAACATCATGCTACGACCAATAGGAGCTGGGCATCAATGAAAAATGTTGCATGTATGAATTGGAAACAGCCTTATTTCCAATTCATTTACTTTCGAAACAAAAGTAACTAACATAGTTTTCTGACAAACACTTAATTTTTATAAGGACAGTGAATATTTTGTTTAAAAAAATAGAAAATACTATTACTTATATATTATATATACTTATTAATTTTATCGAAGATTATATTCGAATCGTCTTTAAATAAATTTTTGGACATATCCTCACACTATTTTGCTACTTCGTAACCTGAAAAATGAAAGTTTAAACATCAACTATGCTTTTTAACAATGACATGACGAATACAAAACATTCAGCCTCGTCGTTATAGATATCTGTTTAACCAAATAACAAGACAACACGTTTCTCTAGAAGAAGGACTCCTCTTTTCACTAAAATATAGTGGACAGAAAGAACAAGAATTAGTGAACTTTTTTTAGAGAATTAGTGAAACGCCGCGAATGAGGTTACCTGTTTCGTAAATTGGAATGGATGTCCAATAGACGTAATTGTACGGTGAGACAGTACTCACGGCAACTCTTCATATTACCGCATAAAACGGCCGCTTTTAAAGGTAGTTTTCGCTATGCGGCCTCAAAGATATGGAACAACCGGATTACTGCCGCCTATAAGATCGTCAAATACGATCGGCACTTTTAAATATAGATTGCGGCGGTATCTTATAGCCGCACATCGGAGACTGGATGTGGCCAATGTGAACACTTCCCTGATTTAACGTGAGCGCTGTCAAAGATAAAGAACGTGCACACTCGTAGTGTAAATTAGCATGATCTGCATATCTGTTATTTGTCTTGTTATTTTTTATTGTTATATGTTATTAATCTTATGGTGTATGTATACGGCGTAGCAATTAGGATCTGCAACCGGTTTTTTACGTACAGTATAATTTTGGGCCCAATTGAAAACCAGCGGTCCGTTTTTGGCATCGTTGGTAATCCAAGCTGCAAAATTGTTAAAACTGATGTATTATTGCCAAATAAACGTTTTTTCTTTCTTCTTCTTTAACTTTCTGTCAATAGAGAAAGTTACAATAGTTTTAGTCGACTGCATTATGAATCGACTCAACTGCAGTGAGAGAAAAACTGGTGGTTATCAATTCTTTCGTAGCATTTTACCGAGTGAATGAGTTTACCAGCGCCAAAACTCCTCCTCCTCCTAATTCTGGGGGAGGAATCAATTGACCGCAGTTATGATTCTTGAGTCGCAGATGTATGGGCGGCGGTATATACCTACTGGACATTATTTCCCGAGTCCCGTTACTCTTACGGTAGTTAGGGGATTATATTCTCTTCAGGGTATCCTGGAAATATCTAGTAAGGTGTCAGATTTTAAGACAAGAAAGCACGTTCGGCGAAAAAGGCTGTCTCTCTCTATCTATTTAAAAAGAACCATTCATGGACGGCGGTAATTATTTTCAATCAGGTGACCCGCCTGGCTGTTTACCCTCCAATACCATAAAAAAATACTTACATGTTATTTTACTACACGAATGGCGTAGTGATTTAAGCGGTCACCTCGCCGCTTCCTATTGCAGTGAGTCTTTTAGGGTCGATCCCCCACATGGGACAACATTTTGTGTAATCCACAAAGCGTTGTTCTGAGTGAGTTGCATGTATGTGTGTAAAGTTCCTCGCGATACAGGATTCCCTGTGGTTTTTTTAAGAAAAATATTGTAACAAATATTTCTCTAAATATAAAAATAATTGTATTTAAATTTCCTTTATTCTTTAATATTAAATACAAAGAATTATCTTCACACGTAAGTCTCTATGGGTATTATAGATAGTAATCTACATGGTTAAGTAGATTCTCTGTGATACAGTTTAACACTTCCACGAAAGTAAAACCATCATATGTGTTTCGTAACACCGAAAGTGTGATCTAACACCGTGGTGGTATTTCGAGGCGATTAAGTTTACCGTTATTGGGGAACGGATGTGGCTTGTTGATAAATGAAGTGTAGCTTAATTCCGATACTGTTAGTGGATAGTGATGTAACGGTGATTAGACGTTTGTATATCTACGGTATAATTAGATACGTATATTAGATCTATAGCGATTATACTGAGATATCCGGGAGCGATAATTTTATCAAACACGATCGGAATTTTCGTTTTGACTGTTGGTCTATTGGTAAGTGATTCGAAGTGATTAGACAGATGTAGTGGGTTGGATTCTCATCTAGTACAAGTCTTGGTAGTATGTCGGTCAGCCGGTATGTCTTAAGAGTAATCCTAGTACTTTATTTTTAATTAATTTATTTGACCACCAAAACGACGGCGACTACACTATTACAATGTATTTACAAAGGTATAGATTTTAAAACTAAGCATCGCCACTACAGTTAGGTACAACATGGACCAAATAGCAATAACAATTTACAAAAACAATGTATACTTAATAAAAATGTTACAAGACAAAGAAAAACTGAATCAGATAGAGCAACTTATAAGCTTGCATTTCTTGTATCTGATATAGTTATCTTTATCCGAGGCACGGATGTGAAGTCAATACCAAATATTTAATAATAATAATAATAATAAATCTCTTTATTGTACACCAGGTATAAATATATAAAGATTAACTTAAGCTAGGTTAGACAGGTACAAATGGCGACCTTATCGCTCAGAGGCAATCTCTTACAGGCAACCAATACTTGTTTGACCTTTAATTTGAAAATAGTGTTAATTTTCAAATTCTAAGGGTGCTTTCTTAGTAGTCTAGAAAGCGCTGTGTAATCCAACAATAATATATACAGAGAGGTAATAGTTTCAGTTTTTCCTTTAAACCGGACGAATAATACGGCTCCGAGGTTTTCTTTGTTTTATGATCAACAAAAAAAGGTCCTGTATGAAACACTGTAATTATTTCTGACATTCAAAATGTCTAACCAAGGAGTAGTGCCTACTCGTATGTTCCACAAATAGCTTGAAACATGCTATTGTTTTAAAAACACTTAATGTATTGCCTAAAAAAATGAAATAAATTCACGTTTGTGTTTAAGACCCATGACAACAGCCAGACCGTGCAGTAGGTACCTATTCAAAGCGCATCTTGTAAGTATTACTTGTAAACTACATTTTAAATGATTAAATTAAAGAATACATAACCGACTTGATTACGCTCACATCAAAATGAATTGTAATAAACTATATTCTTAATTCCTTCATTTTCACCCCTAAGGGTGGTTTTTTTTCTAATTTTAATGGCACCAAACGGGCAGTATATCCTTTTAAATGAATAAAAACACATTTACACACATCCCAAACTAGGCAGAGCATGTACATGATAAGTAGACTGCTGATAAACATACTTAGATATTACTAAGTAGATTACACACAGACAGAAAAAAAAAACTAGCTCATATCAAAATTATTTATCCTGGATAGGAATCGACGCCACGACCTTTATAATAACTTCCCTCATGTCACACACGGCTGTGTGATCCCAAACTAGGCAGAGCCTGTGCCACAAAATTATTTGTCTTAGGTGGGAATCGAGCCCACGACCTCCGGCTTAGCAGTGAGGATCGGTAACCGTTAGA